GAGAGAGACACACACAGAGAGACATACAGAGAGAGAGACAAAGACGGAGGGAGAGACTACAGTCGCTGTGCGTGAAGGAGACACGGGGAGGTCAGGCGAGTCGCGGGTCCCTGCCGACTCCGTCTTATCAGCCCGAGCCTTATCTCTACCTCTCGCCACTATCTCACGGGCGCAGTCAATATGACAGCAGCGGGGGGGGGCAGGGGAGCGAGGGGGGGGGCGCTCCTGTATTGGACGAGCAGGCGGAGAAGGACCGGGCCTCGTAATCGCGATGTAAGTAAAGGCGCAGCCCTGCAACGTCTTGCTCAACGCCACTGCCCTGGCGGTAGGGGAGAGGTAGGGGGGAGGTAGAGGAGAGGTGGGGGGGCGGTAGGGGGTAGGTAGGGGGTAGGTAGAGGGGAGGTAGAGGGGAGGTGGGGGGGGAGGTTGGAGGGAGGTAGAGGAGAGGTGGGGGGCCGGTAGGGGGGAGGTAGAGGGGAGGTAGAGGGGAGGTGGGGGGGGAGGTTGGAGGGAGGTTGAGAGGAGGTGGGGGGAGGTTGGGGGGAGGTTGAGAGGAGGTGGGGGGAGGTTGGGGGTAGGTAGAGAGGAGGTAGGGGAGGTGGGGGGGAGGGGGGGGGAGCAGCTCCACTGAACATAGGTGGATCTGTCAGAGGACGAGCTCCAACTGGCACGCCGGCCAGAGATGACGCTTGACGAGGTGGGAAGAATCTTAATTTGAAGCTTTCGTGACTGCAGGAATCCATACTCTCTGGTTCTTTCGTGTACGTGACTTTACCGAAAGAACCAGAGCGTATGAGGTGTTGATGAAGAGTTACCCACGCTTCGCCCACAACACACGGTGACCTGCCGTGCGTTGCCATCACTGCGGTGAAACCCATTCACGCTGCTGCTGGCTGGACCAGGGCTGAGGACCTGGCCCGGTTGTGTGAACTGGAGTCCAACCCGGGCCACCTCTGGATTGTAATTCCGACGTTCTGACCGTGACAGCGTGGTGATGATGATGATGGTGATGCAGCAGCAGCTGATGATGATGATGACGATGATTGTTGCTTTTGTTTGCTGCTGCTGATTCCGTTGCGACTAACGATGATTCTATTTCTGTTGCTGATTTTGTTGCATGAAGGCTTCGGCAGAAAGCCTTGGTTGTTGGAGCGGAGAGTGCGTGTGGAGAGGGAGTGGAGTGAGATGAGCGGAGAGAGGTTGTTGTTGGTGGTGGTGGTTGTTGTTGTTGTTGGCGTGAGTGCCTCTGTGGATCATACGAATTGTTCATCTGCTGTGAGGGATTTGTCTTTTGCAGGGTTTGGCGAAGGGCTTCATGGGAAGGGTGTCCAGCTAAGGAAGTGCGTATGTCTGTGTGTGTCTGTGTGTGTGTCTGTGTGTGTGTCATTGTGTTGTGGGGAGCGATAGTGTTGCGGTTAGCGCGCTGCGCTATGAACCCGGCGACCCGGGTTCGATTCCCGCTCACGTCCAACACCAGTGACGATTATTTTAACCGGTCCCGGGCCTCCCCTAGGTCGACTCAGCCTCAAATGAGTACCTGGTGCAGTGTGTAAACATTGCCACTAGGGAGACAAAGGCGGTCGGGCGTGGTGCTGGCCACCCACCCCCTCGTGCGCCGTGCCGGCCTTCATAAGTGCTCTCTAACAACACTTGCCCCAACATTCTGTTGAGGCTACACGGAGGAATCTTTGTCTTTGTGTGTTAGCGAGCACCTATAACGGCCGACACGGCACACGGAAGGGGTAGGTGGCCAGTAGGGCCGAACGATTAATCGAAATCGCAATTTCAAACAATGTGATTAGTAAATCGCAAAGACTTCGATTTATTTGCGATTTCAAAAGTCCTATTACTTGCTTATTAGAATAGTTTTATTTATTATCATAACTTAACAATTCTATGTTTGATTGTTCTATTTCAATTAAAACATTTTAATAAATACATGTTGGAAGCCATGCATATATTTTAAGTTCTCATCCTTGCATTAGAATATATAGAGAGCAGTTCATAGTTTGATAGTATCACGTGGTAAAGCTCCATCACATGTTTTAAATCTATTACACAGTGAATATTGAACTGAAGCTTGTCTTTAAAAAAAATGTAATCGCAAATCAAATCGCAATATCTGTCAGAAAAATTGCAATTAGAAATGTTCCCCAAATCGTTCAGCCCTAGTGGCCAGCACCACGCCCGGCCGCTTTTGTCTCCCCAGTGGCGATGTTCACACACCGCACCAGGTACTCACATTTGAGGCCGAGTCTACCTAGGGGATGCCCAGGACCGCAGCGTAGCGCTAACCGCAATGCCCCTGCGTTCTTCGATCCCGGCGACCCGAGTTCGATTCCCGCTCACGGCCAACCAACAACCGTGACGATTATCTGAACCGGTCCTGAGCCTCCCCTAGGTCGACTTGGCCTCGAACGAGTACATCCACTATCAACCCACATCATCACAATCGTCGTCGTCATCATCACGTGGGCTGGATACCCCCCCCCCCTCCCCCGTCTTCTCCGCGTGCCACTCCTAACGATTCAGTCCGGCATCGCGCGCATCGACCCCCGTGTTTAATTAGCGTAACCTGAATACACAAACCCGTGCGTCGCTCTCGCCGCGTTAACGTGTGTGTGTGTACGTGTGTGTGTACGTGTGTGTGTACGTGTGTGTGTACGTGTGTGTGTACGTGTGTGTGTACGTGTGTGTGTACGTGTGTGTGTTGTGGGGAGCGATAGTGTAGCGGTTAGCGCTACGCTGCGCTATGAACCTGGCTACCCGGGTTCGATTCCCGCTCACGGCCAACATCAGTGTCGATTATCTGAACCGGTCCCGGGCCTCTCCTAGGTCGACTCAGCCTCAAATGAGTACCTGGTGCGGTGTGTAAACATTGCCACTAGGGAGACAAAGGCGGTCGGGCGTGGTGCTGGCCACCCACCCCCTCGTGTACCGTTCCGGCCTTCATAGGTGCTCGCTAACAGCACTTTCCCCTACAGTCTGTTAAGGCTATATGGGGGATCTTTGTCTTTTGCGTGTGTGTATGTGTACGTGCGTGTGTGTACGTGTGTGTGTACGTGTGTGTGTGTGCGTGGGGAGCGGTGGTGTAGCGGTTAGCGCGCTGCGCTGTGAACCCGGCGATCCGAGTTCGATTCCCGCTCACGGCCAGCACCGGTGACAATTATCTGAACCAGTCATAGGCCTCCCCTAGGTCGGCTCAGCCTCAAAATGTGTGCCTGGTGCCACTAGGTAGACAAAGGCGGCCGGGCGTGGTGCTGGCCACCCAGCCCCCTCGTGCGCCGTGCCGGCTTTCATAGGTGCTCGCTCACAGCACTTGCCCCAACGGTCCGTTGAGGCTGTACGGGGGATCTTTGTCTTGCGTACGATGGCAATGCTGGCTGGCCATGACGGGTCGTTTCGCAGACCACGGTGGTGGCACTCCGGAGGAGAGGGGTTTGCGTATCGCTCTGGTGATGTTCTGCTGAGGTTGATGGTTCCACTCCTGGTGTCTTCGAGGATGATGATGAGCAGGAGGAGGAGCAATGTCAAAGCCAGGAGGAGGTGGAGGAGGTGTGCGTGCGTGCGTTTAGGTGCTCGCGAACAGCACTTGCCCTGGCAACCCGTGCGCAGGCATATACCACTGGGGGGGTTTGGGGGGAGTCCTTACGTGTTTGGACTCGGGCACGTGCGCGCGTGTGAACGCGCAGCTTTGTGCTTGCAAGGTGCGTGTTGAGGTTCAACTGAGCGTGTAGCAGTCGCTTCCAATACTCATCAGAGACGCGACGGGGTGGGGGGGTGGGGTGTGGTTGGGGGATCTTTAAGCCAATTAATAATCCCATCCTTTAGCCACCGAGAGGGGAAGCCAACCATCGATAGATTGATTGAACAAAAAAGTTCCACTATCGACTCCCCGTGTCACTGACTCTCCACTACTCTCCACCACTCTCCCACGCTCTCTCTCTCACGCTCTCCCCCACGCTGAATCGGGACCAGGCGGTCACTCACACCACTGACGACTGTCACCGTGGCCGGGTTAAAAGAGCAGGGGCGCGCTAACTACTGCGCCACCGCTCCCACTGCGGTGTTTATAGTTTTTTTTTTACCTGGCGTCATCCTCAACATCTCCCCCCCCCCCCCCTCCCCCGGGCCGCACACCAATTATCACCTTGTGACAGTTAGATTCCCCTTAATTGGAAGCAGCGCACGCGCGCGACGTGAGCGCTAATTGGCCATAATGACCGTGGCGCTGAGTGGGTGGGGGAAAGGGTGGGGGGAAAGGTGGGGGGAGGGTGGGGGGAAAGGTGGGGGGAGGGTGGGGGGAAAGGTGGGGGAAAGGGTGGGGGGAGAGGTGGGGGGAAAGGTGGGGGGGAGGGTGGGGGGAGAGGTGAAGGGTAGGGGGGTGGTATTCCACGTCCGTGCGCACGTGGCTGGCGCGTTCTCTACGCTGCCGCATTTTAATCGAATATTTGCGGTGACGACCGTTGGCTTAATGCCGCTTGGTTTGGCGCGCCGGGCTCACGAAGCGTGGGAGAACTGACGGCGGCGATGGGACGGGGATTGAAGGAGGAGTGCGCGTCAGAGAAGCGCAGGAAGAGAGGCGAAGCGTGACAGGAGCGGCGGGGGGGGGACGCGCGGATCGGAGGGCGCGCGCCACGCTTTAGAGGCTTCCGTGTTGACTGTGGGAGACAATCGGGAGTGGTGCTTGGGCCGGACGTCTCACGTCTCCAAGGGACCACGAGGGTCGTGTGAGGGTGATGGTGGTGATGGTGGTGGGGGGAGCCGTGGGGTAGCGGTTCGCGCTGCGCTGCGCTACGACACCCGGCAGCCCGAGTTGGATTCCTGCTCTCGGCCAACACCACCGGTGATGATAATAATGGTCATCGGCATCACGGTGCCGATAATGCCGATAATGATGGTCCTGATGGTGATGGCAACGATCATGTAGCCTCTGATGATGCTGATGATGATACTGCCGATGATGCTGCTGATGATGATGATCCTTAACGAAGACGCAGACTGGGCCGTCCTGGTGTTGACTGCCACTGCCAACACGACAACGGAGCCGCGGTCATTCAGCTCCAGTTCCTCATCAACGAGGTGAGACCTCTTCCAAAGACAAAGATCCCCCGTATAGCCTTAACATACTTCTGTGGCAAGTGCTGTTGGCGAGAGATAATAACCTCCTCCACACACACACACACACGAACAAAGACAAAAATCCCCCATATAGCCTTCACCGACTTTTGGGGCAAGTGATGTTTGCGCACGAACGCATGCACAGTGACATGCACGCTGTCATACCCACACACGCAAACGTTCATCAACATCATTACAGCGCCTGTGCCAGGCCAGGTGCACTTTGAGGTCACGTGACGTATCAAAGGCTCGCTGGCAGGAGGACACGGGACAGACCCAGGTGCCATGGGTTGACTGACTGAGATGACCGGCAGATGCACCGTGAGATCCCCACACAATCCAGCCTTACCCAGACACGCGCACGCACACACACGAACGCTCTCATACCCACACGTGCTGTTTGGTCTGCAGAGAACAAAGCGCAGAGCACTGCGCTAATGAGCTCTCTCGCTCTCCCCCTCACTCGCTCTCCCCCCACTCTCCCCCCACTCTCTATTGATGAGCTCTACCCCCAACCCCCCTCTCTGGCTTCCTTTTACCCCTCTTTCTCTCCCCCCCTCCCATCTCTCCCCCATCTCTCCCCACTCTCTCTCCCCCCCTCTCTCTACTCCCTCTCCCCCGCTCTCTCCACACTCTCGCCTCTCTCCATCTCTCTCCATTTCTCTCCCTCTCATCTCTGCCCCTCTTCACGAGAGCCCCTATCGCTTCGCCGTTGTCGCACCTCGCTCTGTGCACGTGGTGGTGACGACGACGACGACGACGATTGCTGACGATGGTGGTGGTGGTGGTGACAGACGAGCGGTGGCGCAGCGGTTGGCGCACTGCACTACTTTAGCGGCAGTGCCACCCCCGCGGGCGATCGTTCCGAGCGCTCGCCCGGCAGAGCCTCGCGAACACTTTTCGGGAGGGTCCTGCCAACGATGTTTCACGCCCCGCTGCTGCTCTACCAATCCACAAGGTGTCATTTGCGGTGGGATTTTTTTTCGTTCAAACTCGGCGGAAACTTGGAACCTGTGACACCGGCACGCGACGGTCCTCCTCTTGCCAACGGTCTCGCGGGGATCTTTGACGGCCGTTGGCATCACGGTCGACGCATGCAGACGGCAGCTTTGACCCGAGCGTCCCGCTGGATCCGAACCGTGATCCCCACCCCCTCCCCCCCCCTCTGCAACAAAGAAAGCGGTCGACACGCTGCTAACCACGTGACCTCCAATGGCTGGTGGTGGGCTGGGGGGGCGGCTGAAAGTTCGTGAGAGCGGAGAGATCTTTACGGTTTTAAACCGGATTTACGAACGCGTCGTAAACATCTTGCGTGTAATGTTTAACGCGCGCGCACGCACGCGGTGCCCCGCGGAGCGTCGCACACGACGGGAAGTGGAAGGGGTTATTGCCATGGGGGTTAGGGGCGAGGGCCCTAAATCGTTGTCTGCTGCTGCCCGTGGGAGTGATTTGCAGCCGGGTGGCGTTAGGCGCTCCTGGACTTGGCACCGCATGCGACGCTGCGAAAGATCAAAGACCGAAACGCCCCTCGGCGCGCCGGATGTCATGGGATCTCGCAAGCTAAGCAGGAGGGTTGAGCCTGGTTAACAATTGGATTGGGAAAACAATGACCACCGCTGTCACCTATAGGGCTTGCCAAGTGTTGCAAAGCGTGGGGGCTGCGAGTGGACGGTAGATCGCAGCATCGTGATGGGGTGAGATCCACAGAGAGATGTGGTCCTGCTCACTGGATCGATCGAGTCCGTGGAATGAATCCATCTGTGCGGAGGTGCGAGTGTTGTCTCCTTGCTATGCACGGTGGGTGTTCTCCGTGTGCTCCGGTTTGCATGGGCGACCACCGCCACGACCAGCAGCAGCAGCAGCAGGGCTTGCCAAGTGTTGTAGGTGTGAGGGCAGGCAGTGCGGCGAGGCCAGGAGGTGGCGGTGCCGCGCGTCTCCCCCACGTGGACAGCGGCGCGGTGCTGCTGGGCTGTCTCCGGGCTTCTCCCGTTGCCTCCTCCCCCACACACGAAGCCAAAAACTCTCATCGCCAAACCACAGAATTCACGGCCCAAACATCCCAGCGGAGTGGCAGCAGCAGCAGCAGCAGCACGACCTCTCCTGACTTTCCTGGGTGAATAAAGGACATTGTTGCGACCATTCTTGTATGTAACTCCTGGCATATGTGTATATAATCTGAGAGCAAGTCTCTCCATCCCTGGCCATTCATGAGTCACAACAGCTGAGCCCAGGCATCCAAACGCTCGGTCGGCACAGAGGTGGTGGCACGAGGCCACGGGTGGCTCTACTTCGCTGACGAGGCCCCAGCGAGGACGAGGCCACCACACGGGCCCGCTTGCCGTGGAGGTTCGCGGTTCGAATCCCGAGCGGCCGCCCCGGTTATAACCGCGTGCGAAATGCGGTAATGCGACCGCTCCACTCCGTCCGTTTCGCTCGCAGCGGATGTTAAAATAAACGATCGACTATCTTGATTTAACCAGTTAAGGCCCACTGAGCTATGTAGCTCTTTGTCAGAAGCGACCTGGCTATCACCAACGATAGCTCAACGAAGTGGCTCATCATCACGTGGAAATTTCCAGCAGCCAAACAATCTGAACCCACGTTGATTCTTAGTGCGGAGGGAAAAACCTGGAGGCCTCTACGCGACCGGCCACGGGGAGAACACACAAACTTCGAACATGCAGGCATCAGGGTCGGGATTGAACCCACGACCTCCTATATACCAGGCGAGGTAGTTAACATCTCCTAGCCACCGCGACTCCACCCGTGGCTTCCCACTTGTCTCCACCCTGGCCTCCACTCTCGCAAGAGTTTGGCCGTGTTGCGCCTGTGTCACGGTCACGTGTCCGGTGGGGGATCGCGTGGCCGCTGCGGCAGCGATCGCCCCCTGGTGCGAAGACTCGGCAGGGCCCTCCTAGAAGAAGAGCCAATTAGTAAACAAACGTTCAGTAGGGTTGGCCCAACAACATTGCCATGCGGTTGGGACCACGTGTCTCCACCGTGCGCGCGTATTTGTCTGCTTGTTTGTATCCGAGCGTCTCAATGTGTGCACATGCGTGTCTCCGCTTGTCTTTCAGTGTGTCTCCGTTTCTCCATCTGTCTTCGGGTGTCCCAGTTTCTCCGTGTGTTCCCGTGTCCCTCATGTCTCCACGTATCCCCGTGTCTCCCCATGTCCCCGTGTTTTTTGCGTGGCAGGGCGCCCTGGTGAGCGTGTTTGCAGATGGCAGTCTTTGTGTCTCCACATCTCTAGACCTGGGGCCCGTGTCTCCGCGTGTCCCCCTGTCTCCATGTGGCCCCGTGTCTCTGCGTGGCAGGGCGCCCTGGTGAGCGTGTCTGCGGACGACAGCCTCAACCTCTGGAACCTGCGGCAGAAGCGGCCGGCAGTCCTCCACTCTCTGAAGTTCAACCGCGAGAGGTGACGGGGGCCGGGAGGTCGCCACGTGCAGAGACGAGACGACACGGAGACACGGGAGATGCGGATGCAGAGACGTGCGGGGGGATGGGTGGGGAGAGCTGCGGTGGCACGGGGAGGGATATGGAGGAACACGGGGGAGACACAAGGGGAGGCATGGGGAGACGGACAGAGAGCAGGACACACACGGAGCAACATGGAGAGAGAGATAGATGGGGAGCCAGAGGGAGACGTATTATCCAACCAGACACTAGCCCTACCCCTAACCCCTAACTACATGAACCAACCAAACCCTACCGCTAGCCCAAACCACACTAACTAACCAACCAACCCTACCGCTAGCCCAAACCACACCAACCAACCAACCCTACCGCTAGCCCAAACCACACTAACCAACCAAACCCTACCGCTAGCCTAAACCACACTAACCAACCAACCCTACCGCTAGCCCAAACCACACTAACCAACCAACCCTACCGCTAGTCCAAACCACACTAACCAACCAACCCTACCACTAGTCCAAACCACACTAACCAGCCAACCCTACCGCTAGCCCAAACCACACTAACCAACCAACCCTACCGCTAGTCCAAACCACACTAACCAACCCTACTGCTAGCTCAAACCACACGAGTTAACCACCTGGCACACCACCTCCACTCTGTACCTCTCGCTACGGGCTGTGGCTACTACGAACCAGTCACGTGCCACCAAACTCCGGTCCACACCAGGGACCCGGCAACTACACTCAAGCGAGATGATGTTTAAGCCCCGCTAATCACCACCACCACCGTCATCGCCATCACCGTCGTCATGGCGATGGTGATGATCGCGTTGAAGTTACTGTGATTACGTAATCGCAGAAATAATAATAATAATATCTCTGATCGCCCAGCGCCGCTGGGGCCTCGCCGAGGGCCAGATGGCAGCGTCAGCTGTTAATTCACAAAATAAATATTAAAAAAACGAGTGTAAACCAGGAGCTAATGAAATAAATGCACCTCCCCCCCCCCTCCGTGCGCTGCATCGCCCGGATTCCAGGATCATGGATTTCGAGTCCCGTTCCGTCTCCCGCCGTCTCCTTGGTGTTGTTTTGCCGCTCATGCAGTTGCTTTAATTCCGCGATGATCGATATGCAATATTAGCATATAATTAGCATATACTTATCGTACAATTTAGCGTACAATTAGCATACACTCCCCATGCCTTAGGCCTAAACCCCAGCTCCAACTTCAGAGCAAGTGTTCACCCCTTGCCCTGTGTCTAGCCTAACCATAGCATGACCACGCTTTGAGCAGTAACCCCAACCCCAAACCAAAACCCTAACTCGAACCCTCGGCTTGAACCCGAGCGATTAACCCTAACTCTAGCCTGAAGCCCCTTACACTGACTCTAACCGCAAGCCTTTACACGAACCCTAGCCTAGCCCGAGCCTATCCGCATCCATTACACTCGCCTGTGGCCTAGCTCTAGCCCTCACATTAGCCATAACTCTAACCCTAAGCTCTATCGCTAATTCTTGCCTGGGACGCGAAACATCGCCTTAGACCCTTCCTCTAATAGTGAACCCCCAGCAACCTGAACTGGTCTCAACTCTCGCACCGAACCTTGGCACTTCCGTCAGCCGTCACTTTGACACCTGACCTTGAACCATGATGCGTAACCCCTATCGCCACTTTGACCCCTGAACCCTGACGCGTAACCCCTATCGCCACTTTGCCCCTGTCACCCTGACGAGTAAGCCCTGTCGCCACTTTGACCCTGTCACCCTGACGAGTAACCCCTATCGCCACTTTGACCCCTGTCGTCACTTTAACCCTTGAACCCTGAAGTGTAACCCCTGTCGTCACTTTGACCCTGACGCGTGGTGCCACGGTTACAGGATCACCTGCTGCCACCTCCCGTTCCAAAGCAAGTGGCTCTACATCGGCACCGAGCGTGGGAACATCCACATCGTGAACGTGGAGTCCTTCGTGCTCTCGGGTTATGTGATCATGTGGAACAAAGCCATCGAGCTGTGAGTACATGTGGTAACACACACACACATGCACGTGTGTGTGTGTGTGCGTGTGTACGGTTTCAGGAAAGTGCGGTCCTGCACAGATGCCATATTTTCTGTCCGTCTGCTACAGCAGAGGCGTAGGGAATTCCAGCAAGACCTACATCTCTGCTTTATTGACCTGGTCAAGGCCTATGATACCATCAGTAGGCCTGGGCTCTGCTCACGATCATTAAGGACCTTCATGATGGTAAGCGGTCCCGGATAAAACTACGTGGCCGGGAGTCAGAGCCATTCCCTGTACACCTTGAGGTGCGATAGGGATGTCCTCTGGCTCCCACATTATTTAACATCTATTTTGACCACGTAGTTCGTGAAGCCTTCAATAGCTGTACCGGGGGAATCTCCATTTGGTACAGATATAATCGGAGGCTGATCGATGCCCGGGTGCGGTCAAGGGATGGCTCCCTATTACTCAACCACGTTATGTATGCCGATGATTTGGTAATAGCTGCTCATTCAGAGGAGGAGTTGAAGACGCTGCTGCTGAGACTGGAGCGTGCCACTAAGAGGTGGGGCCTTACCATCAGCCCCACCAAAACTAAGCACCTGCCTGGGTATTTTGTACCATCGGACACTCCGGCTCCAGGTTAACAGCAGAGGTCTCACTCCGAATCAGTCGAGCGGCAATATCTTTTCATCGGTTGCGTAACGCTGTGTGAAAGCTACCTGGTCTGTCGCTCCGCACTAAGCTTCAGGTCTTCTCGGCCACGGTCATTCCCTCCCTTCTCTACGATTGCGAAACGTGGACCCCCTTAATGGAACATCTTTGCCAGTTAGAAACATTTAGGCTAGCCTGCCTACGATCGATCCTGGGTTTAACCAGGCTGGATTGTGTGAGGAGCTCACAAATCCTTGAAAGATCTGGGCAAGGTCCCATCGGTGAGCTCCTCCGGTAGGCAAGGTTGCGTTGGCTGTGTCATGTAGCCCGCATGCCCAGCCACCGGATGCCGAAACAGCTTTTGTTCAGCCGGATCGAGGGGGCTAAATGGGCGCGGCATGGGCTATAGAAGAGATGTAGTGATGTGGTACAGGAGGACGTGGAGCTGAGTGGACTTGCCGATGACTGGTACCAGCGGTGTCAAGATCGGCCTCTGTGGAGGAGGCTCGTGAAGGACGCTAATGGGCAGTTGGAGGCAGTCGCCCTCCAACAACAACGGAGGGCTGAGGAGCGACGCTCACAACAACGAGCGGAGCACCGGGTGGCTAAAGTACAGCAGGTTGGCACAGTAGGGGGCACAGGTGGTGCACCAGCCAGTCATCTCAGTCAGTCGACCCGTGGCACCTGGGTCTGCCCCGTGACCTGCCAGCGGGCGTTCGACACTTCACGTGGCCTCAAGGTGCACATGGCCTGGCACAAGCGTCGTGGTGACGTCACCGCCACTTAGTGGCGAATTTCGGTTGTTGTGTGTGTGTGTGTGATCATGTGGAACGAAGCCATCGAGCTGTGAGTACACGCGGTGACATGCGCGCTTGTATGTGTGTGTGTGTGTGCGCGCGCGGGTATGAGCCAGTGGTTGAGTGAGCGTGTGTATGAGCGGGTGAGTGTGCCGGTAGGCGAGTGAGCAGGTGCGTGCGAAGGTGTGAGCTTGCGGGTGTGTGTGCGAGCGGGTGTGTGTGAGTGGGCAAGCGAGCTGGCGTGTGTGTGTGTGCGAATGGGTGAGCGGGTGTCGCACACTCGCACGATCCTCACCCCCTCTCCGATTTCCCCCCCCCCCCCGCTGCCCTGCCCCAGATCCACCAAGTCTCACCCCGGCCCCGTCGTCCACATCAGTGACAACCCTCGTGACGACGGCAAGGTGAGTGGCGAGCGAGCATTTAGGGAATGAGGTGTGACTCCACCAATGACGGTGCTCCATTTACACCCTGTCTGTTGGAACAGCGGGGCGCTGCATCTGTGCGTGTGTGTCGGTGTATTTGTGCTGGTGCGTCTGTTGCTAGCGTGCGTGTGGGGAGCGGTAGTGCAGCGGTCAGAGCACAGCGCTACGAACATCGAGACCTGAGTTCAATTCCCGCTCACGGCCACCACCAGTGACGATTATATGAACCGGTTCTGGGCGTCCCTTAGGTCGACTAATCCTCAAATGAGTACCTGGTGCGATGTGTATACAAGGCCACTGGGGAGACAAAGGCGGCCGGGCGTGGTGCTGGCCACCCACCCCCTCGTGTGCCGTGCCGGCCTTCATAGGTGCTCGCTAACAGCACTTGCCCCTACAGTCTGTTAACGCTATACGGGGCATCTTTGACTGTGTGTGTGTGCGTGCGTGGGCATCTCAGCCGCCAGGTGCTAACGCCCACTCGCACGTCCCATTTGCACCTGTCGGCACCGCACGCCCGCCAGAGACGGAGCGAACGAAACGAGGAGCGAGCGAGCGATGAGTGACACACGGAGGTCGCCGCGCGCACGCGTACACACACACGCACGCACACACACACACGCATGTGTGCGTGTGTGTGTGTGCGTGTACGTGCGTGAGCATAGTCGCATCGCTTGCTTTCTCTCTCGCTCTCTCTCGCTCTCTCCCTCGCTCTCTAGCTCGCTCTCTCTTTCTCTCTCTTTCTCCCTCGCGCTCTCTCACCATGTCTCGCTTTCTCCTTTGCTCTCCCTCGCTCTCTCTCCCGCGTGCCCTTTCTTGCTCTCCCTCCTTCTCACCCTCGCGCACTCTCCCTCGCTGTTGTTCGCTCGCCCCACACTCACTCTCTTTCGCTCTCTCCTACGCTCCCCCTCTCTCTCTCTCTCTCACCCTCGCACCCTCTCACTCTCTTTTGTTCGCTCGCCCACTCGCCCTTTCTTCCTCGCTCTCTTGCCGCAGCTCCTGATTGGCTATGAGAATGGCACCATCGTCAGCTGGGATCTCAAGTCCAAGAAGGTCGAGTACAGATATTACTACGACGAGGTGAGAGACGATGCACCCCGCGGGGCAGAGGAGGAGCAGAAACCTCCTTTGCGTATTTGTCTCGCCACATATAAGAATATATATAGATATTGTTAAAGTATTAATTTACACATCCCATCAGCTGCACGGCCTTCTGGGAGCTCAGCTTGTCATCAGCGTCGGTTTAATTCAACGCATCGCTGTCCGGGGGACCAGCTTCGACATTCGGTGTCCCGTCAGCAGTGTCAGCCTTGCTTGTACGCTGGCAGGTGAGTGGCGTCCTAGAAACCGGTTCGCCGGTGCGGCCCTGGTGAGCGCTCCAGGCCGGAAGCCCCGGGGCTGCCCGAGGCCCGGCGCTCCGGAAGAGACGGTGGGGCCTGGTGCCAGACAACGCGGCCTGAGGTTTCATCCAAACCGTCGCCACGATAGGCGACCGCTTCCCTGCGCCGCCCTCACCTTGTGTGTTTAGTTTGTTGTTCTTCCCCCGCACCTGCGATGAGCGCACGGTCGGTTACGTACGGTGCGAAAGAAGTTCAACGTACATGCTTATGCATAACCATGTACCTGCCCTTTCCTAACCCTGCCCTATGTTGCCCACTGCTGCCCTGTCCTACCCTCCTGTCATCTACCCTTCTTAACCCTGCCACTTCACTGCTGCCCTGCCCTCTCCACTGCCGCGCTGCCCTCTCCACTGCTGCCCTTCCCTGCCGCGCTGCCCCAGGCGATCCACTCGGTGGCGTGGCACCACGAGGGGAAGCAGTTCATCTGCAGCCACTCGGACGGCAGCCTCACCACGTGGGCCGTGCGCAGCCCCGCCAAACCGCTGCAGGTGCTGCTGCCCCACGGTGAGCACCGCACCGCCAACGTGGCACCGCACCGCCACACCGCCAACGTGGCACCGCACCGCACCGCACCGCCAGCGTGGCACCGCACCGCACCGCACCGCCAGCGTGGCACCGCACCGCCAGCGTGGCACCGCACCGCCACACTGCCAGCGTGGCACCGCACCGCACCGCACCGCCAGCGTGGCACCGCACTGAGGGGGCGAGTGAGTCGGCGTGTGAGCGGGGAGCGGTGTCACATGCTCGCTCCGTCCGGTGTTGACTGCAAATTAAAAACCATCGCCCCCTCCTGCTCTGTGACCTCCGTGACCCAGAGCAGGGGGGGGGGGCAGGGGGGGCAATTTCCTCCTCCGTTATTTTCAATAACCTGGACATAGCAGAGCAACTCCTCCATCCCCCCTGCCATAGCCACGTGCTCTACACACATGTACAAACAAAGACTAAGGTTCTCCGTATAGCATTAGCAGGCTATAGGGGGCAAGTGCTGTTAGCGAGTAACAGCACCTATGTAGGGCCGGCACGGCGCACGCGAGGGGTTAGGTGGCCAGCACCACGCCTAGCCGCCTTTGTCTTCCTATGCGCTGATGTTCATACACGCTGCACCAAGTACTCATTTAAGGCTGAGACGACCTACGGGAGGTCCAGGACCTGTTCAGACAATCGTCACCGATGCGGTGAGCGGGCATTGATCATATGGGGTTCGCCGGGTTCGTAGCGCAAGGCGCTAACTGCTACAATTCAAATACACGCGCGCACACACGCACACACGCACACGCACGCACGCACGCACGCACACACACACGCGCTCACGCGCGTACACAAGGAGGGTGCGCACAATGTTCCCTGCGAGTCAAAGGGATGCGTCGCTCACGCCGTGTATCCGTGCGCCTTGTCGCCGCAGCAGCGTAGCTGCGACCATCCCCACGCGCTTTCGCTAATTTCACCCGCACAGTATCCATGCCGCAGCCTTGGTTGTGTGTTTGTGTGTGCGAGTTGTAGCCAAGCCCCAAAAGGATGGGAAGAAGCCGGATCCCTGCAAGCCGATCCTCAAGGTGGAGTACAAGACCAGCAAGATGGGGTGAGTGGCCACTTGGTGGCTCAGGGGAGCTTCGGGGGAAAGGTCACGGTCAAGGTCATGGTCAAGGTCACCATGGGTCGAACGTGCGTCATGGCCGCCAGAGAGTAAACGGCCGCCAGAGTCCTCGCGTAGACCCATGGACAAACATAGAGACCCATAGACTCACACAGAGACCCAGAGACTCGCATAGAGACCCATAGACTCACACAGAGACCCAGAGACTCACATAGAGACACATAGACAAAGATAGACACCCATCATTGACTCACGTACACACTCGTAGAATCACACATAGAGACCCATCATAGAGCCACATAGACACCCATAGAATCACATATAGAGACCCATCATAGACCCACATAGACACCCATAGAATCACACATAGAGACCCATTAAGACTCAAGTGCAGTGAGTTAATGGTCTCAACTGACACAGCCCTTACTTGGAGGAGGATGATGGGAAGGAGGATGAGGAGGATGAAGGGGAGGATGATGAGGATCAGGGGGATAGGGATGAGGAGGATGTCGTTGGCCAAATGTCCCAGTGTGGCGATTCCTCTCGTTAAATGGCGTGGAAGGGAGGCATCTCGTCTCATTAGTCTCGTCTAGTTTTAATTAAATTATTTGTGACCCCTGCACCACTCCCTCCCCCGCACCCCCATCACCTCCTCGTGTCACAGAAAGCACTGCGGGCGGTGGTGGTGTCTTTTGAGTTGCGTAACTCGCTCGCTCGCTGGGTTACGAGCAGCACTTATCCTGGCAAGAAGGGGGGGGGGGGCGAGGGGAGCGCCATGCGTTGCCATGGCGATTCGGGCTCGTGGTGGCCGTTGCCAAGGCGACCGTTTCCAGGAGACAGCCTGGTGGTGGCCATTGCAGCTCCCGCATGGGCCACAGGACCGAGAGACTCCCACGTTCGCTCACTTTTCTCTGCCTCTCGCTCGCTTGCTTACTCACTCGCTTGCTCACTCGCTCCCCAACTCACTTGCCCACTCTCCCACTCGTTGTGCCGCTCCTTAGGTAACACGCTCACTCACCCGTCCACCCACTCCCCCACTCACTCACCTGCTCGCCCATTCACATTTCCCGCACCTCCGATTAGCACGATTGGCTACGTACGGTGCGAAAGAAATTCAACATACATACCCACTCACTCAGCCACTCACTCAGCCGCTCACTCGTAGTGAAGACGAGGGTGGAGCCATGGTAGGGGCTAGGATATAGAGGCTTTGGTGGAGCCACAGTGAAGGCTGAAGTGGAGTTGAGAGTGGAGGCCAAGGTGGAGACAAGTGGGAAGCCACGGGGGGGATTCGCGGTGGCTATGAGATGTTAACTACCTCGCCTGGTATACAGGAGGTCGTGGGTTCGACCCCGACCCTGACGCCTGCATGTTTGGTCGCGTGGACTTTTCCCCGGGTCCTCCGGTTTGTTCCTCCACGTTTCTAAATCTTGCGTTTCGAGTATTTGACTGCTGCTATAAACTTCCACGCGATAAGCCACTTTGTTGAGCCATCATTGGTGGCCAGGTCGCTTCTGTGAAAGAGCTATGTAGCTCAGTGGTGCCTTACGCGGGGTAAAATAAAATAAAAATGTAAAAGATAGTAAGCTGGAGGCGCAGTTACCATGTTGGAGCCAGGTTCGGGATGGTGGTAGAGGTGGAACCGCAGTGGGAGCTGTGGCGGAGAACACGGATGGAACCACAGAGAATGGTGGCCACAGGGATGATGGCTGAGGTGGAGCCGCGCGGAGATCGGGGTGGAGCCACGCTCACGAAGGGTCGACCTTGAGTGACGCTTGAGTGGGGAGAGCCAGGGTGGAGGGGCAGTGGAGGCCGGGACAGGTGGACGGGGCGGTGCCCCGGGGGAGCCACGGGGTGGAGTCTACCCCGCGGCTCCACCCCGTGGCTCTGCCGCACGGGTGTTGCAGGGGGAGAGAGAAAGAGAGAGCTCATTCATAATTAATTTGTCTTTTATGAGTCCATGCCCCTTCTGGCCTTGGTCCTTTCTGAAAGGTTCCCCCTCCTCCGATGAGAAGATTGTGAGCGCTCCCTCCCTCCCTCCCCTCCTCCGCCTCCTCCTCCACCCCCCTACCCCACCCGAGTCAACTCGCGAAATAATTGTACTACAATTGTGATTGTCACCGCGACGTTGTTGTTGTTGTTATTATTATTATTACCAATGTCGTCGTCGTCATCGTGCGAGCGAATGGGAGTGCTCCGTGTAATGTCGCGAGGTGCCGGCCGAGTCGCGAGGTCACCGCCAATAAATCCGGCGAGTGGAGAGAGTGTGGAACTCGGCCTCGACCCCTTGGCTGTCGTGTTAGACTCGGGACGCCCGGCCGCGTCGTAACGCACGGACGTCGGAGGATGACCTGCAGGCTCCACTCTGTCTCTCCCTCTCTCTCACTCTCTCTCACTCTCTCTCACCTTGTCCGCACCCTTCTGGATTCGCTCGGTATCTGCGCTGTCGTGTTGTGACCTCTCGGCCGCCCGGCCACAATGATGATGACTTCTGATAAATAACGGTGATGCTACTGATTATGGTGGTGGCGGTGGTGTTGATTATGATCAGTGACGGTTATGATGATGATATTGATTGTAATTATTGATAATCCTTCTGATGATGATGATAACGATGTTGGTCACGATGATGTCTGTGCCCCCCACTGCGGGCCCCCCCCCCCGCGCCGTAGCGAGGCATACGTGGTGTTCTCGGGGGGCCTGTCGTACGACAAGGCCGGCCGCAGGCCCAGCGTGACGGTCATGCACGGCAAGTCTGTGTCCGTGCTGGAGATGGACTTCCAGATCGTGGACTTCATGACGCTCTGCGAGACGCCCTACCCCAGCGGTCAGCACCCTGCATTACGTCACCCTGCGTTATAGTGTTACAGCACCCTGTGTTACAGCATACTGTGTTATAGTGTTACAGCATGCTGTGTTATAGTGTTACAGCACCCTGTGTTACAGCACCCTGTGTTACAGCATACTGTGTTATAGTGTTACAGCATGCTGTGTTATAGTGTTACAGCACCCTGTGTTACAGCATGCTGTGTTATAGTGTTACAGCACCCTGTGTTATAGTGTTACAGCACCCTGTGTTACAGCACGCTGTGTTATAGTGTTACAGCACCCTGTGTTACAGCATACTGTGTTATAGTGGTACAGAACCCTGTGGTATAGTGTTACAGCACGCTGCATTACAGCATGCTGTGTTATAGTGTTACAGCACCCTGTGTTATAGTGTTACAGCACCCTGTGTTACAGCACGCTGCATTACAGCATACTGTGTTATAGTGTTACAGCACCCTGTGTTATAGTGTTACAGCACCCTGTGTTATAGTGTTACAGCACGCTGTGTTACAGCACGCTGCATTACAGCATGCTGTGTTATCGCGTTTCGGCACCCTGCGCTATATAGCTATCAACTCTGCACCCATTGTCCATACCTCAGCATTACTAAGAAATGACGGGATGTGTACGCGTGCTGGGCTGTGTGTGTGTGTAGTGTGGCGGTTCGCGCGCTGCGCGACGAACCCGATGACCCGAATTCGAATCCTGCCCAGAGGATGCTCATTAGGGCATCTTCTGGGTCTACTCAGCCTTAAATAAGTACCCTGGTGCGATGTGTAAACGTCAGCTTGGTGACACAAGGCCCACGGGGCATGGCGCTGCCCCCCCCCCCCCCACCCAGTGTGCCGTGCCGGCCTTCGTAGGTGCCGCTCGCTCACAGCGCTTGCCCCAACAGTCTGTTAAAGGCTATCCGGGGAATTTGTGTGCGCGCGTTGCAGAGCTCCAGGACCCGTACGCTGTGGTCGTCCTTCTCGAGAAGGACCTCGTTGTCATCGACCTCACGCAGGCCGGGTGGGTCACCGGGGCACCGGGTCACCTCCCACTTCCTCTGCGTGCGCTGTGCGGGCACGCCGTGCCGTGGTGGTTATCGCTCGGCACCGTAAACCCGGCTAGCTTTGGCACGTGTCTGCGCGTGCGTGTCTGTGCCGTGCGTGACGCAATTACCCATGTGTCCGTGCGTGCATGACACGGTTTCCCATGTGTCCGTGCGCGCGTGTCTGCGCGCGCGTGCGTCTGCGTGCGTCTGCGTGCGTCTGCGTGCGTCTGCGTGCGTCTGCGTGCGTCTGCGTGCGTCTACGTGCGTCTGCTCACGTGCGTGCGTTTCATCTGCGGGAGCGGGCGATGATGCGGGCGAGCGATCGCGGCGGCGCTGCAAATCTGGCAAACCGGGCTTCGGAGCCCTGACCGCGGCACAACACCCGGCGGGCGATCGCCACTGGCGACCCCGCGCCCTTCGTGCGCGACGCCGGCCTTAAACGGGCCGCTCGCCGACAGCACTTGCCCCCACCCCCCGACGGCGTCTATTAACGCTACCCTGGGGGGTGTGCGTGGGCAGGTACCCCGTGTTTGAGAACCCGTACGCGATGGACGTGCACGAGTCTCCGGTCACGTGCTGCGAGTTCATTGCCAACTGCCCCACGGACATCGTGCCGGCGCTCTTCTCCGTGGGCGCGCGGCAGAAGCGCCACGGATACAGCAAGAAGGTTGCCGGGGAGACGCACGGGCGCACGCCGGGCACTCGCGAAGACGAGGACAGACACGGGGAGACACAGAGACACACGGAGACACGGGCACTCAAGGGTGCTTTCAGTTCGACACAGAAATTCTCACAAAGCCACTCACAGGCACAGACTCGCTCACGTCCACTCGTAGACGCTCACACTCACTCGCCGAGTGAAGTTGGTGCTGTAAGATGTGCGCATTGTCACAGCGCAGACCGCGCACAGAGAGAGCTTTGCAGAGGCTGTGCATGTGTGTGCGTGTGTCTTCCACGTCTGCGTAAATCCATGTGTGCGTGCGTCCGACCGTGTGTCTCTGCGCGTGTCTCCGCGTCCCCAGGAGTGGCCGATCAGCGGAGGCAGTTGGGGTCTGGGCACTCAGAGTTACCCGGAGATCATCATCACGGGGTGCGTGCCCTCCTCGCCCACACGGACCATCGCCGGCCTGCCATCACGTGGCCATGTTTACTCCATCTGTGCTTCGAGTTCTGCCCACGTTAAATGCCTCTCTCTCTCTCTCCCACTCCCCCTCCAACCACCACCGCCGCCGCTGTCATCACGACAGCCATGCTGACGGATCGCTCAAGTTCTGGGATGCCTCGGCCAGTAAGTAGTGCACTCCAAACGCTCGCTCGCTCCCTCTCCGCATCCCTCCGGTGACCGCCTCTTCCCAGTCCCCCCTTAACCCCTACAATGCTCCCAACCCCACCTCCCCCCGCGATGACCTCTTGACCTACCGCGAGACGGGCAGCCGCCATCAAGATTGCATGGCCTGATTTGCCGTGGCCGTGGCCGGTGTCGGACTTGCGCGCAACCGGTTGCTGCTCACCGGCGAGCGGTGGACTCGGCCCTCGGGCGTCGATCGGCGCGGCGGTTCGTTCGCGAGCCGCGATTTGTCCACCACGGACCCCGCACGACCCGCGCGCTCCACTTTGCTTGACTCGCTTCGCGCAACGGCCCGCCCGGACGCGGACAGCTTCGCCCTCCCGCTTTCGCATTCTTCCGAATTGCCCGACTATCACGGCGTCAAATGTTTGGCGGTGGACGTGCGACGCAACTTTCCCTGGGTTCCACCGGGGAACCGCGAGGCGCGCCGCGGCGGGAACGGAGGCCGGCGGCCGCTAACGCCCGCGGCGCTCGCCGCGGTTGCCGTCGGTGGGCACGGCGCGAGGTTAAGTCGTCCGGTCACGCGCTATCGCTCCGGGGCGGAACCCTAGGTTCACCCTCGCGCGTCACCCTCGCGCGTCTCTCTCGCCCAGTCAACCTGCAGATGCTCTACCGCCTCAAGACCTCCAAGGTGTTCGAGAAGGCGAGGGGGGCGGCGGCGGCGTCTGGTGCGGCGCGACCGCCCGACGCGGACGAGGACCCCTACGCGGTGCAGATGGTGGCGCTGTGCCCCGAGAGCCGCGTGCTGGCCGTGGCCGGGGTGGCGGCCCACACCATCCTCTACCGCTTCAGCAAGACCGAGAGCACCGGCTGCGAGGTCACGGTCAGTGCGGGGGGGGGGGAATCGGGAGGTCGCCGGCATGCGTGGTCCACTACAAACCCGGCGGCCCGAGTTCGATTCCCGCTCACAGCCGACACCGGCGACGATTGTCCGAATCGTTCGCGAGCCTCAAATGAGTACCCGGCGTGATGTGCGGACATCGCCGCCGGGGAGACAAAGGCGGCCGGGCGCGACGTTGGCCACCCCGCGCCCCCCTGGTGCACCGTGCCGGCCTTCGTAGAAGCTCCTCACGAACGGCGTGGGGGGGGGGTGACCTTTGTCTGCGTGCGTGCAGTCCCTGGAGGTGCGGCTGCAGTACGAGGCGGAGGGAGAGGCGACCCCCGAGGGGGACCAGGTCCCCTCGTTCCCCTCCCCGGGCCCCGCGGGGACCCCCTCCCAGCCGCTCACCATGCGCCCCATCGTGCCCAGTGGGGGGCCCTGCCCCCCCGACGGCCTCAAGTGAGTCTCGCCACCGCCGTACCGACCCCCACCACCCTGCTCCCCCCGCGGAGCAGGGTGGTGGGGGTCGGTACGCGCCACCCCCCACCAACACCGCCCCCCCCCTCCCCCCCGTCCACGCCACGCGGCCCATCGCCTGTAAAGCGTCGGTGCCCTCGCGAGCCGTGGTCGATCCGCTGCTGGATGAAGTTATCCCCCTAGCCGCTGCTGGTTGCCGCTTGCGATGGAGCAACGGAGCGATCCACCCAGAGAGAGCGAGGCTCTCTGGGTTCTCTCTCCCCGTCTGAACTGGCGCACGCCCCCCTCCCCTCCCCTCCCCCCCCCCCCACGTGGACCACGTGGCTTCTGCGTGGCCACGCCCCAACTCTGAACCCCTCCCCCCCGCGCCCCGCCCCCTTTGAGAACAGACGCTGCTCCTCCTCCTCCGTGCAGATCCCTTTTGCTCACTGCTTCTATCTCTTCCCTCCTCTGTCTTCCCCTCCCCTCTCACCATCATCGTCGCCCTGTCAGCATCTCCCACGTCTTGGCCTGGTCATTCCTTCACTCCCCTGCTCCCCATCCTCCTCTCTCCCTGCCCCTCTTCTTGAGCCGCGCCCTCTTTGTCTCTCTTGGGTTTCTCCTTCTCCTCGCTTCTCTCTTCTGACTCTCTCTTGTGCTCCCATTCCTCCGCTCCCCTCTCCATCCTTTCCCTCTCATTCCCCATTCTTTGCCTCCTTCCCCGTCCCCTCCGCCCCCCCTGTCTCCGTTATAACACATTTAAACAGTGACAGGGTAAACCGTTAACACCGTAGTTGTAACGACGTGCTGCCCCCCCCCCCTCCCCCCCGTGACACCCCCCGCCCCCCCCTCCCCCGGCAGGGTGAAGTCGTGCCCCCTGCGCCAGGCCCCCGGGTACCAGGCTGAGCTGGTGGTGCAGCTGCAGTGGGTGGACGGGGAGCCCCCCCAGCAGATCACGAGCCTCGCCCTCAACTCGGCATACGGCCTGTAAGCACCGCCGTGGGGGGCGACAGGGGCCGTGGGAGAGGCCGGAGGGGAACCGGGAGTCCCGGGGGAAGCTGTCGCGGTCGCTCGTCGTCGATGGCGCCAGCAGCGACCGCTCACGCCGCCCATCTCTCACTCGCTCACTCCATCTCTCACTCCGTCTCTCACTCGCTCACTCCGTCTCTCACTCGCTCACTCCGTCTCTCACTAGTTCACTCCATCTCTCACTCCGTCTCTCACTCGCTCACTCCATCTCTCACTCCGTCTCTCACTCGCTCACTCCGTCTCTCACTAGTTCACTCCATCTCTCACTCCGTCTCTCACTCCGTCTCTCACTCGCTCACTCCGTCTCTCACTCCGTCTCTCACTCCGTCTCTCACTCGCTCACTCCGTCTCTCACTAGTTCACTCCATCTCTCACTCCGTCTCTCACTCCGTCTCTCACTCGCTCACTCCGTCTCTCACTCCGTCTCTCACTCCGTCTCTCACTCCGTCTCTCACTCGCTCACTCCGTCTCTCACTCCGTCTCTCACTCCGTCTCTCACTCCGTCTCTCACTCGCTCACTCCGTCTCTCACTCCGTCTCTCACTCCGTCTCTCACTCCGTCTCTCACTCGCTCACTCCGTCTCTCACTCCGTCTCTCACTCGCTCACTCCGTCTCTCACTCCGTCTCTCACTCGCTCACTCTGTCTCTCACTCGCTCACTCCGTCTCTCACTCGCTCACTCCGTCTCTCACTCCGTCTCTCACTCGCTCACTCCGTCTCTCACTCCGTCTCTCACTCGTTCACTCTGTCTCTCACTCGTTCACTCTGTCTCTCACTCGTTCACTCTGTCTCTCACTCGCTCACTCCGTCTCTCACTCGCTCACTCCGTCTCTCACTCCGTCTCTCACTCGCTCACTCTGTCTCTCACTCGTTCACTCTGTCTCTCACTCGCTCACTCCGTCTCTCACTCGCTCACTCCGTCTCTCACTCCGTCTCTCACTCGCTCACTCCGTCTCTCACTCCGTCTCTCACTCGCTCACTCCGTCTCTCACTCCGTCTCTCACTCCGTCTCTCACTCCGTCTCTCACTCGCTCACTCCGTCTCTCACTCCGTCTCTCACTCGCTCACTCTGTCTCTCACTCGCTCACTCCGTCTCTCACTCGCTCACTCCGTCTCTCACTCCGTCTCTCACTCGCTCACTCCGTCTCTCACTCCGTCTCTCACTCGTTCACTCTGTCTCTCACTCGTTCACTCTGTCTCTCACTCGCTCACTCCGTCTCTCACTCGCTCACTCCGTCTCTCACTCCGTCTCTCACTCGCTCACTCTGTCTCTCACTCGTTCACTCTGTCTCTCACTCGCTCACTCCGTCTCTCACTCGCTCACTCCGTCTCTCACTCCGTCTCTCACTCGCTCACTCCGTCTCTCACTCGCTCACTCCGTCTCTCACTCGCTCACTCCGTCTCTCACTCCGTCTCTCACTCGCTCACTCCGTCTCTCACTCGCTCACTCCGTCTCTCACTCGCTCACTCCGTCTCTCACTCGCTCACTCTGTCTCTCACTCGCTCACTCCGTCTCTCACTCGCTCACTCCGTCTCTCACTCGCTCACTCCGTCTCTCACTCGCTCACTCCGTCTCTCACTCGTTCACTCTGTCTCTCACTCGTTCACTCTGTCTCTCACTCGCTCACTCCGTCTCTCACTCGCTCACTCCGTCTCTCACTCGCTCACTCCGTCTCTCACTCGCTCACTCGCTCACTCCGTCTCTCACTCCGTCTCTCACTCCGTCTCTCACTCGCTCACTCCGTCTCTCACTCGCTCACTCAATCTCTCACTCGCTCACTCCGTCTCTCACTCGCTCACTCCGTCTCTCACTCGCTCACTCCGTCTCTCACTCGCTCACTCCGTCTCTCACTCGCTCACTCCGTCTCTCACTCGCTCACTCCGTCTCTCACTCGCTCACTCCGTCTCTCACTCGCTCACTCCGTCTCTCACTCGCTCACTCCGTCTCTCACTCCGCTGCTCACTCCGCCGTTCACTTCGTCTCTCCCTCCGTCTCTCCGCTGCTCACTCCGTTGCTCCGCCGCTCACTCCGTCTCTCACTCCGTCTCTCACTCCGTCTCTCACTCCGTCTCTCACTCCGTCTCTCACTCCGTCTCTCACTCCGTCTCTCACTCCGTCTCTCCGTCTCTCACTCCGTCTCTCCGTCTCTCACTCCGTCTCTCCGTCTCTCACTCCGTCTCTCACTCCGTCTCTCACTCCGTCTCTCACTCCGTCTCTCCGTCTCTCACTCCGTCTCTCCGTCTCTCACTCCGTCTCTCCGTCTCTCACTCCGTCTCTCCGTCTCTCACTCCGTCTCTCCGCCGCTCACTCCGCTGCTCACTTCGTCTCTCACTCCGCCGTTCACTCCGCCGCTCACGCCATTGTTCGCATTAATTGAGTTCCATGTTCGATATCTCTTCCTGAGACACAACCAGGATCTCTTCTGTGTTGACCACTGTTTCCATGCCAAGCAATCATCTCCATACCGACCGCCGTTTCCATGCCGACCCCCCCCCCCCTGCCCCTCATCGCCGTTGTCCCCCTCTCTACCCGCAGGGTGGCATTCGGTAACAGCAACGGGTTGGCCATCGTGGACTTTGTACAGAAGTCGGTGCTGCTCAACCTGGGCACCGTGGAGCTGTACGGCTCCAACGACCCGTACCAGCGCCAGCCACGCTCGCCCCGCAAGGGCAAGCAGCAAGGCGCAGGCAGCACCGGTACGAGGGCCCTCGGCGCCAGCGGCGACGGCCGGGGCCCCGGGCGGCCGCAACAGTGGCGAAAACTCGGGCCCGTAACCGCAGCAACGGCTGCAGTGATAACACCAACCGTGACCGTAGCGGCGGCCATAGCGATAATGCAAACCGTGACCGTAGCAACAGCCATAGTGATATCATCACAGCCATAGCCCTGTCTCTAATCATGGACAGATCTCTCACCCGAGCGTCACCGGGTCTTCACGCACGCTTCTGAATCCCTACCGACTCTTTAAAACGTTGAGGTGTCCCGCCGTGCTCTCCGTATACCCGTGCCGCTCTGTGTATGTGCGTGCGTACCTCTGTACGTGCGCGCGTGTGCGTCTAAATCCGTACGTCGTGTGCTGCTGTGCGCGTGCACGTTTCAACACGCACGCTCAGGTTTGTTCGCACTGCATCCTGCTTAGGGCAAGGCTTATGGTGAGGTGGGTTGGTGGGTGGGTGGGTGCATGGGTGTATTGGCAGGTGCATGGATGGATGGGTGGATGCGTGACCCATAGACTCGCACAGAGACCTCGTAGACTCACTCACACACAGACCCGTAGACGCACACAGAGACCCGTAGACTCACACAGAGACCCGTAGACTCACTCGCACACGAACCCATAGACTCACACAGAGACCCGTAGACTCACACAGAGACCCGTAGACTCACTCACACACAGACCTGTAGACTCACACAGAGACCCGTAGGCTCACACAGAGACCCGTAGACTCACTCACACACAGACCTGTAGACTCACACAGAGACCCATAAACTCACACAGAGACCCGTAGACTCACTCACACACAGACCTGTAGACTCACACAGAGACCCGTAGACTCACACAGAGACCCGTAGACTCACTCACAAACAGACCCATAGACTCACACAGAGACCCGTAGACTCACACAGAGACCCGTAGACTCACTCGCACACGAACCCATAGACTCACACAGAGACCCATAAACTCACACAGAGACCCGTAGACTCACTCACACACAGACCTGTAGACTCACACAGAGACCCGTAGACTCACACAGAAACCCGTAGACTCACTCGCACACGAACCCATAGACTCACGTAGAGAACCCAGTCTCAAAAAGGGACCTGTAGACTCGCACAGATCTATAGACTCGCATAGAGACCCACAGTCTCACTCAGGGCTTGATTTCTCGCGGAATGTTTACCGGGTTGCCGGTAAACCACAGTGAATGGGTGGCACAGGACTATTAGTGACAGCCATAGCAATAAGATGTATACTGCACGCGGTTTTCCGGGTGTGGAGATGTTTTTACCCTATCATGGCCGGAATGCAGCCCCGCATCTGTGTGACCGGCGTGCGTTGTGCATGGCATGTGGGGGTTTGCATGGGTGCATGTGTGCGTGTGCGCGCGTGTGGGAGTGCGTGTGCGTGCGTGCGTGCGTCACTACTCAGACGTGTCTTGCATGCGCCGTCTCAGCATCTCCTCCCTCTGGGCCGGGTCTTGCAAACGGCTCCGCACGTCCTACTCCAGTAAGACTCTCGCTCTCTCTCTCTCTCTCAGCCTCTCTCTCGCTCTCTCTCCTTCTCGCTCCCTCGCTCTCTCTCTCTCTCAGCCTCCCTCTCTCGCTCTCTCTCCCTCTCTCTCCAGTGAGATCTGTCACCCTCTCTCTCGTGTTCTGTCTCGCTCGCTTGCTCTAACTCTCTCTCTGTCTCACTCCCTCTTTCTATAGCGGTATCTGCCTCTCTCTTAAACGCTCGCTCTGACTCTCACTCTCTCTTACTCATTCTCTCTCTCTCTCTCTGTAGTGGTATCTCGCAAATTTTCAGTCTCTCTTGCACTCCCGCTCCCTCCCTCTCGAACTCGCGCTCTCTCTCCATCCCCGACGCGTACCGTGTCTCGCTTGTACCACAGAGTCTCCCCACCTCTCCCCACCCCCCCCCTCCCCCGCGCCCACTCGCACGCAGTCGTTCGGTGGCGTCGCTTCAACTCGGGGGAGATTTTTGGCGGCGGCCTGTGCCCTCAAAACGCTCCCTCCCCCGAGGTCGCATGCTCCGTAGAGCGACCGCCGGTCCGCCATTCAAGCCCTTCCCGACTGTGGTCTCCCGTGGCCAATGGCGTGGCTCCGGCGTGGCGGCGACGACGTGGCGGTAGCCCGAGACGGGAACCTGCGCGTCCGCCGCTCGGAGCCCCCGTGCCTTTGCCGGCGCCCAATAGCCAGCGCGTCGCCGGCGACGATTGACCCAAAAATCGCCGCCGGTCTCAGAAGCGTCCTCCGCGGCGGCCGCGGCGGCCGCGGAGGCCGCTTTGAGCCGGCACCTGGCCGCCACGCTTGGGCGGCACGGGCGACGTCGTGCGAGACGCTGCCGGGGGGAGCCCGGGGACCGCTCACGGCAGCCGCGGCGGGGAAATTCGAAACCCGTGCCGCCAGGTTCACGGCGCGCCAACCGCTGCGCCCTGACCACCTTGACCCCCTTGACCCCCTTGACCCCCTTGACCCCCCTTCCACGTGGACGCGACGCCACTCGCTCATCCCCGCGATGAGAGGAGTCGCCGCTACGTCCGGTGATCACGCAGAAAAAACACCGCAACACGTCCCCCCCTCGCCCCGCCCCTCTCCCCCCCCCTCCTCCCCCCCCACCCCCCGCAGCTCCCATTTTCTATTTCCATCGCCGCTCCCGTCGGAGTCGACTCTCGATCCCCCGCGATTCGTCCGGGTGGCGGCATTGACGCCGATCCGTCTCCCCCCCCGTACCCGAGCGCCAGGTTTGGTTGGGAGCGACCCCAGCAAGCACTAACAGCACAACCGGCACTCGACTCCCGTTTCCAGCCGGAGCCGCGGAGCCACCGGTGGAGATTCCACATTCCCGTGGCGGTGGCGAGTGTCACTCCAGAGCGCGGCCACCGGTTGCCTTCCCTCCCGTGGTGGTGCTCGTCTTTATCAACCCCCTGATCGAGGGATGGTGATGATAGGCTGAGTCAACCCCTCCTCCACCCACCCAAACACAACCAGGATGTGAACTTGTGGCCCTCGTCAAAGGTGGTGGGGAGGGGAGGGTTGGGGGGGGGGGGAGGCGGGGGCCACGTCCGCCCGCATCGCGCCGAACGATCGAGAGTTTGACCCCGCCGCGCTTCGCTTTGCCGCACGTCGCTTCCGCCTGGCGGTGTCGTGCTCCCTCGCTCCCTCGCTCCCTCGCTCGCTCGCTCCCTCGCTCCCTCGCTCGCTCGCTCCCTCGCTCCCTCGCTCCCTCGCTCGCTCGCTCACTCGCTCCTCCACCGCTACCGCCGCGTGATTTGAACTTTCGGCCCGGGTCGTGGGAACGATGATGGTGACGATGGTGACGACGACTATGACGACGATGATGACAATGACGACGACTATGACGACGATGACGCCGACTACGACGACGACGACGATGATGACGACGATGATAACGATGACGTCGCTGTGCTCAGATCTTGAATCCGAAATCACGGCGGGCGGTTCTCATCCCACGCGTGCGTCCGCGATGCGCCACGCATCGCTGCGTCAGCCGCTGCTTCGCGATGCATCGCTCGCCTTCACCAATCATTTGTTGATTAATTTATTCATTCCATAACCGTGCTGATTGCGTTTTCAGTTAATTTTTGCCAATCGTGTGCGCGTGTGTCCGCGCGCGTGCGTGTGTGCGTGTGTGCGTGTGTGCGTGTGTGCGTGCGTGTGTGGTTTTTGACAACGCTTTGATTTTTTGTTCCGTTTGATGTCTGCTTCTCTTTATGTTGCCGTCACCTCTTGACCCCCCATCCCCCCCACCCTACCGCACCGCACTCACCGCACTCACCGCACCCACCGCACACAACCACGCACACACACCACACTCCCTTCCCCCTGCGTGCCCCCCCCCATCCCCCACGCTCTCACCTCACCTCTGCCTGCTGCCCAACCCGCACCCCCCCCCCCCACACACCCCCCCTCTTTCCCACAACACCGTCACTGCCACCCCCCCCTCGGCCCCGGAGAAGGCTTTAGTAGCTCAGCAGTGTGGGCGGCGCTCGCGGTGTTGCGCCTCAAAGCGTTGCGCTCCACTCACTCCGCGCCGGACACCTCGGAACCAGCAGGTGCTGCAGGACCGCCGCTGGGTAGCCCCCCCCACTTACCCTCACGCCCCTCCTCCAACCCCCCCGACCCCTCCACCACGAATGCCTCGTGTACCCCCGACTGTGTGTCCACACGTGGCCCTGTCACAACCGTCTTGTGTGCGTCACGTGTCGCTCCCGCGTTCCCACTGTGTGGTTGATCCCGCAACCCGTGAGGTCTCCGCGTGTCTCCTGTTGTCTCCGCGTGGCCCGTGTTGTCTCCGTGTGGCCCGTGTGGTCTCCGCGTGCCCCGTGTGGTCTCCGCGTGTCTCCTGTTGTCTCCGCGTGCCCCGTGTTGTCTCCGCGTGCCCCGTGTTGTCTCCGCGTGTCCCGTGTGGTCTCCGCGTGTCCCGTGTGGTCTCCGCGTGTCCCGTGTGGTCTCCGTGTGCCCCGTGTGGTCTCCGCGTGTCTCCTGTGGTCTCCGTGTGGTCTCCGTGTGGTCTCCGCGTGTCCCGTGTTGTCTCCGCGTGTCTCCTGTTGTCTCCGCGTGCCCCGTGTTGTCTCCGCGTGTCCCGTGTTGTCTCTGCGTGTCCCGTGTGGTCTCCGCGTGTCTCCTGTGGTCTCCGTGTGGTCTCCGTGTGGTCTCCGCGTGTCCCGTGTTGTCTCCGCGTGCCCCGTGTTGTCTCCGTGTGCCCCGTGTAGTCTCCGTGTGCCCCGTGTGGTCTCCGCGTGTCTCCTGTGGTCTCCGTGTGGTCTCCGCATGTTTCCTGTATCTCCTTTTTCTCCCAGACCCCCCCCCCCCACCCCACGTGTCCCTCCAACTGCCCCCCTTCACCCCCCCCCCCCTCCCGTGAGCTGTGCATAACCTAAATGAATGGGGAGGGTGGATGAGGAGCAGGAGGGAGGCCAAAGAGGGAAGAGGAGGAATAAAAGAAGAGAGGAGGAGGTTGCATGTCAAGAGTAGGAGGAAGGATGTGGATGATGATGATGATGATGAGGAGGAGGATTGTGACGAGGAGAGAGAAGTGGGGGTGGGGAGAGGTTTCTGTCACCGAGAGGGGAGCGTAGGTCGTCACGTGGCGACCTCCTCCTGACGCGGGGCCCCGCTCACCAGCGCTCGCTTCCGCTCGGGGGACACGAGTCTGTCCGTCAACGGAGAGACGCGTACTCCTCTCTGCACGCCTGCATGTCCGCGCACCTGCCTCGAGCAATTCTACCTATCCACCTCCTCGCCTTAATGCTTCCTTGTCCACCTACCTGTCAATCTGCCTACTGGCCTGTCCACATGTCTACCTGTCTTTTTAGCTACCGGCCTACATGCTTCCCTATTTACCTGCTTACCTGCCTACCGATTACTTACTCGCCTGCATGCCTACAATATTACCTTTATACCTACCGATCTAAAAGCCTATATGCTTCCATATCCACCTACCTTCCTGTATATCTCATAACCTGTCTGCCTACCTACTGGTAGACAATCTGACATCGATACCTATACATCTGGCTGTCTGCCGTCTTGTCTGCTAAGACGTGAGGCTTAAATTCAATATTTTTTCCATATTCAACTAATTTAACAGTGACCTGGTTAGACAACCCCGGTGTGTGTGTCTATGTGTACACTGTGTGTGTGTACACGTGTGTGTGTGTGTCTGTGTGTACACGTGTGTGTGTGTCTGTGTGTACACGTGTGTGTATCTGTGTGTACACGTGTGTGTATCTGTGTGTACACGTGTGTGTGTGTATCTGTGTGTACACGTGTGTGTCTATATCTGTGTGTACACGTGTGTGTCTGTGTACACGTGTGTGTCTGTGTACACGTGTGTGTGTGTGTGTCTGTGTGTGCGTGTCTGTGTGTACACGTGTGTGTGTGTGTACACGTGTGTGTGTGTACACGTGTGTGTGTCTGTGTGTACGTGTGTGTGTGTACACGTGTGTGTGTCTGTGTGTACGTGTGTGTACACCTGTGTGTACACGTGTGTGTGCCTGTGTGTACACGTGTGTGTGTGTACACGTGTGTGTGTGTATCTGTGTGTATCTGTGTGTACACGTGTGTGTCTGTGTACACGTGTGTGTCTGTGTACACGTGTGTGTGTGTGTGTCTGTGTGTGCGTGTCTGTGTGTACACGTGTGTGTGTGTGTACACGTGTGTGTGTGTGTACACGTGTGTGTGTCTGTGTGTACACGTGTGTGTGTGTCTGTGTGTACACGCGTGTGTCTGTGTGTGTGTACACGTGTGTGTGTGTGTACACCTGTGTGTACACGTGTGTGTCTGTGTGTGTGTACACGTGTGTGTGTGTACACCTGTGTGTACACGTGTGTGTGTACACCTGTGTGTACACGTGTGTGTGTGTGTACACGTGTGTGTGTGTACACCTGTGTGTACACGTGTGTGTGTACACCTGTGTGTACCTGTTTATTTATGGGGAGCGGTTTGTGTAAAGGTGAGAGAGCACTGCACTACGAACCCGGCGCGATCCCAGCTGGATTCCCGCTCGTGATCAACAATGGTGGCAAATATCCAAACCGGTCCTGTGCTTCCCATAGGTCTACTCAGCCTTAAATAAGTACCTGCTGCCGTGAGTAAAGCATCGGCCCTGGGGAGATAAATGCGGCCGGGCGTCGTTCTGGGCACGCCACCCCTTCGCGTGCCCTGCCGGCCTTCATAGGTGCTCGCTTCCAGCACTTGCCCCCACAGTCTGTTGAGGCTATACGGGGGACCTTTATCTTTTTGTATGCGCGTGTCTGTGGGTGTGAGCATATGTGCATCTGTGTGATAGTGAACGCACTTGCACACATATTTGTTAAAAGCACTTGCCCAATCAGTATGTCATGTTCATCTGGGGGAGTGGGGAGTGGGACCTTTGTCTTGGTGGTGAAGCGCGTATTAGTTCAAAGCTGACGAGTGTCGCTGAGGTTTTACTCGGAGTGGAGCTTGTGGGGGATAACTGCGTGTGCGTGTGTGTGTCTGTGTGCCTACGTGTGTGAGTGATGTTGTGGGGAGCGGTAGTGTGTGTCTGTGTCTACGTGTGTGTCTGTGTGTCTACGTGTGTGTCTGTGTGTCTACGTGTGTGTCTGTGTGTCTACGTGTGTGTCTGTGTGTCTACGTGTGTGAGTGATGTTGTGGGGAGCGGTAGTGTGTGTCTGTGTGTCTACGTGTGTGTCTGTGTGTCTACGTGTGTGAGTGATGTTGTGGGGAATAGTAGTGTGTGTCTGTGTGTCTACGTGTGTGTCTGTGTGTCTACGTGTGTCTCTGTGTGTCTACGTGTGTGAGTGATGTTGTGGGGAGTGGTAGTGTGTGTCTGTGTGTCTACGTGTGTGAGTGATGTTGTGGGGAGCGGTAGTGTCGCAGTTGGCGCGCTGCGCTACGAACCCAACGACCCGAGTTCGATTCCCGCTCACGGCCAACACTGGTGATGATTATTTCAGGCAGTCCTGGGCCTCCCCTAGGTTGACTCTGCCTCAAATGCGTACCTGGTGCAATGTGTAAAACATTGCCACTAGGGAGACAAAGGCGGCCGGGCGTGGTGTTGGTCACCCAGCCCCTCGTGTGCCGTACTTGCCTTCATAGGTGCTCGTTAACAGCACTTGCCCCCAACAGTCTGTTAAGACTATACGGGGAATATTTGCCTTGGTGAGTGATGTACATCTTTTTGTGATGTCTACATGTCTGTGTTTGATGGTGCGTGTATGTACGGGTCTTGTATACGAGCGATGTGAGTGTCACATCCATACTGCATTTCTAGAGTGGTGGTGCAGTGGTTAGCGCACTGCGCTTCAAATCCTGGTGATTCGCAGTCAATTCCCAGCGACGGCTAACATCAGTGGCGAATATCGGATACAATTTTGGGCCTTAAATAAATACATGGTGCGGTGTGGAGTAAACATCGCCACTGGGGAGACAAATGCGGTTGGGCGTGGTGCTGGCCACCCACTCCCTCGTGCTGTTTTGGCCTTCATAGGTGCTCGCTAACAGCACTTGCCCCAAAAGTTTCTTCAGGTTATATGGATTTTTTTCCCTTTTGTACGTAAATATGGGTGTGCCTGTGTGTGCCTGTGTGTACGTGTGTGTGTGCGTTTATGGTGCAGGTCTGGGTGAGATCACGGAGGGGGCCAGTGCCCAGGACAGCGAACGCTGCAAATCTCCCACAGCCGGTGAGATCATCTACTCCACAGACACACACAGCTCTACGTGAGACACACACAGCTCTACGTGAGACACACACATGGATCACATACACTCCGGCACGTACCCACGCCCTCACATTCATACTCCCACGCGGGAGAGGGAGGGAGAGAGAGAGTGTGAGAGTGTGAGAGTGTGCGCCGCACGGAGACCACTTCTCGTCTTGCGTAACGAACGCGTTTCTCTCCGTGCAGGGGAGGTGTTTGAAGAAGACAAACCCTTCCCAAAACTGTTTGACATTGGTACGGTAATGGTGTGACCCCCCCCACCGCCCCCCCCCGCCCCCCCTGCCCCCCGCCCTCAACTCGTGATATTTTTTCCTTTTATTTGGGCCTCGTTATCTCTGGGGTCCGAGTGCAGCTCCGCCGCTCGCTGTGACTCAAGGAATCGCCCCCACCAAAAAGTTTTGGTGTTAAAATAAATAAATAAACGCCAAGGGCACGAGCCGGCACTCGCCAGAAGCTCGGGTTCGAGTCCAGGTTTCAGCCGCGTAACCACATGCCATTAAACCAGTATCTCATAGACTCGCGCAAAATCCCGTAGGCTCGCATACAGACCCGTGGACTCACATAGAGATCCATCGACTCGCATGGAGACCCATTGACTCGTTACAGAGAGACCCCATAGTTTCACACAGGGACCCATAGACTCACACAGAGAGACCTAAAGACACACATAGATTAAACTGGATTCCCAAGCACAGTGAGTCGATGGTCTCTGCCCGGTCACCATTGACTGTATAATAAACAAACAAAAAAACATCATCACATTTTAATTTTCTAAATTTGGCTAAATCTCAGCTCTGAGAATGAAAGATATCAGCTTGACCGTCGTGCGACGATCATCGCTGCCAAACGTCGAGCGGGCTGGGAAAGTGCTGCCCTCTACCGTGTGGACCAAAGGTCATGGATCTCAAGAGGTAGCTCTGTAACATCCACTTCCGCGGGCCGTTCCCTGGCACGGACGGTCGCGCACTACTCCGCGGGTGGCGTGATCGCGTTAAAACTTTTGAAAGTTACAACAGCAACAATAAAATACGAAAATAATCAACCTCGCCTCGATCTCGGAAGCTAAGCAGGTTTACGCCTGGATAGTGCTCGGACGAGCTCCTCGTCCGCTGGCATTGGCGGACGAGGATGGAATTGCAGGGCTGCGCCTGTACCTCCTTAACCGCTGCCACGTGGCACCCCCCCCCCCGTCTTTGTTCCAGTTCGAGGAAAGAGCCGGAGAGTAAAGTCTCCCAGCTCGGTGGCAGACTTAGGTAACATGTCTGTCGTCCCCCTCCCCGCCCTTCTATCCCACCCCCACCGCCCCCCCCACCACCACCCCCCCTACTAATTGACACTAATCAAGGGTCTCGCTGTGCCACGCAGGGCAGCACCGCACTAACCAATCACGAGCCAATCGCACTAACGAGGAGCTGCGCGCTCTGATTGGCTGCCACTAATCCCGCTGCTGCTGCTGCCATCACCGCCGCCGTGATTCCTCTGCAGATGAGATGGGGGGGGGGGGAGGAATCGGGACGTGATGCCGTCACGCGTGGGGGACGGGGGTGGGGGTGAGAGTGTGCGGTGAGGGTGTGGCATGGGACTGGTGAGGTGGTAAAGCTGTGGCTAAGGTGCGGCAGTGGCGGGGGGGGGGTGTACGATTCACCGGTGAAGGTTGTGTGTTGAGGTTGTGCGGTTCTTTGGTGTGGAGTGGTGAGGTGTGGTGAGGTGTGGAGTGGTGAGGTGTGGGGTGGTGAGGGGTGGTGAGGGGTGGTGAGGTGTGGTGAGGTGTTGGGTGGTGAGGTGTGGGGTGGTGAGGTGTGGGGTGGTGAGGAGTGGTGAGGTGTGGAGTGGTGAGGTGTGGTGAGGTGTGGAGTGGTGAGGTGTGGGGTGGTGAGGAGTGGTGAGGTGTGGTGTGGGGTGGTGAGGTGTGGGGTGGTGAGGTGAGGTGTGGTGAGGTGTGGGGTGGTGAGGGGTGGGGTGGTGAGGGGTGGGGTGGTGAGGTTGTGCAGTGGGGGGGGGGTCTGTAACCACGCGGCTGTGATGGGTCACGTGATTTACCTCCCAAATGGCGATGCCTGATCGCAGCTCAGAATGCGATCCTCTCGTCCACCCCTCTCATCCACCCCTCTCGTCCACCCCTCTAGTCCACCCCTCTCGTCCACCCCTCTCATCCACCCCTCGCGTCCACCCCTCTCGTCCACCCCTCTCGCCCACCCATCTCGTCCACCCGTCTCGTCCACCCCTCGCGTCCACCCCTTTCGTCCACCCCTCTCGTCCACCCCTCTCGTCCACCCCTCGCGTCCACCCCTCTCGTCCACCCCTCTCGTCCACCCATCTCGTCCACCCCTCTCGTCCACCCCTTTCATTCACCCCTCTCGTCCACCCCTCTCGTCCACCCCTCTCGTCCACCCCTCTCGTCCACCCCTCTCGTCCACCCCTCTCGTGCCCACCCCTCGCATCCACCCCTCTCGTCCACCCCTCGCATCCACTCCTCTCGTCCACCCCTCTCGTCCACCCCTCTCATGCCCGCCCCTCGCGTCCACCCCTCGCGCTAGGCTTGCGTTCTCTCTCACTAACCGCTCGGTGTGTTTGTAAAATGTCCCGTGCTTTGCAGGCTTCTCGATGCTCACGTTTCTCCATAAATTATTCAAGCGTTGCGGCGCTTTGAGAGCCCATAACGATGTGTGTGTGTGTATTATGTGTGTGTGCGCGTTTGTCTTTGTGTGTGTGTGTCTGTGTCTGTCCGGCCGTCATAGGTGCTCCCTGAACAGCAATTGCTCCTCCAGTCTGTTAAGGTTATGTGGGAGATCTTTATCAGTTGTCTTTCTGTCTGTCCGTCTGTGTCTTGTCTGCGTGTGTTTGTTTGTGTGTCTATCCGTGCTTGTGAGACTGCATCAATGAGTCATCAATTGATCGAGTCATCAATTCATCGAGTCAAAGAGTCATCAATTCATCGAGTCATGATTAATCGATGAATTCGTGACTCGATGAATTGATGACTCATTGACTCGATGAATTGATGACTCGATTAATCGATGAATTCGAGTCATAAATGTATCGAGTCATCGAGTCAATGAGTCATCGAGTCAGGTCTGCGTCAGCTGCACGTCGGCTGCACGCCCGGCGCGTGCGTCAGATGCCGTGAGCCACAGCGCCACCGCTGCATTGCGCCCTGCACCATCATGGCTCACGCTGCTGCCGCGCCCGTGCGACGCTCCCCCCTCCTCCCCTGCGGCTCTCAGAGCAACCGGACGTCGGGACGGGCGCCACGAGCCCCGGCGGCGAGGCCGTCGCGGCGCCGTCGTGGGCCCCCTCGGCCCGCCGCCGCTTTTACAGCGCCGACGGCGCAGGTGGCGCCGGCGGGCCGAGGTCGCGGGGCCGCGCCGGCGGGGGGCCCCGCTCGGGCGTTCGCGCGAAAACCGCGTCGACCTCCTCCTCCTCCTCCTCCCCGGCCGAGGCCTGGCCGCCCGGAACCAACGGAGATGCCGGCCTGGGCCTGGGCCTGGGCCTGGCGGTGGCCTCCAACGCCCGCGGTGATGATCGCTCGATGTCCCGGACTCGAACTCTCGCGTGTGCCGAACCCCGCCCCCTGCCCCCCCCCCCCTCACTTCGTTGCTGCGTAGGGGCACAGTAACTAACGGGGGTCGGTTGGAGTGGGACCGGTTGAGGGAGTGCGGGCGAGCGGTTGAATCGGATGGGTTCGGTATTTTACGCCCGTGCCGTCCGTCACGTTTTGCTCTCGTAACGACGGCTCAACCTCAACGCCGAAGGAGACTTCGGCGTGGCCTCGTTGCCGCCCTCGGGGAGATCGCCGGGGAGGACACCGCACGAATTGATGCGAGCGTCGACTCGACTTGGGAGACGGGAATTAAAAATGAAACAAACCCCCAGCGCTAAAAGTCTCCCACACTCGGGCATCGCGGCCACGCGGGCGGAGGCGCCCTCCCCGCCCCTCCCCGGTAGGGCCGCCACCCGAGCCCCGTGGCCCCGTCGTGGCCTAAGGCGGTGCTGGCCGCCGCCGCCGCTCGCCGATTGAACCCCTCCGAGGCCACCCGCGCGCCCGCGCCGGGGAGACGTCGCGGGGACTGCGTGCTTCTTCCCAACCTGCGCGTTGAACGTCCGCAAAAGCCCAGACGCACGCGGCGGCTCTGACGGAGAGCCCCCCCCCCCCGCCCCGCGCTCCACTCCGACCGAGCCCCAGGGGAGTGCCCTTCCGATCGCTCGTGCTCGTCGCTGTTCCGTGTTTTCCGATCAGCCCTGGTCGTAGGTGTCCCGTGGTTTGGCTGTCGGTGTCGCTAATCGCCTTCGTGGTTTCCTGATCTGCCTGTGGCCGTCGCTGTCCCGTGGTTTCTGAACGTCCTATGCCCGTGTCGGTGTCTCGTCGTTGTCGGTTGCCCCGTGGTTGCCCCGTGACCTGTGGTTGTTCCGTGGTTTCTAATCACCCGTGGTTTCCCGATCTCCCGCGGTCGTACGTGTCACGCGGCTGTCCAGTCCGCCAGTGGTTGCCAATCTCCTGCGGCCTTCCGATTGCTTGTGGTCGTCGTCTTCCCGTGGTTGCCGGTCGCCGTGTGGTTACCGTGGCGTCTCGCCGCTGTTGTCATTCGCCCTGCGGTTGTCGGTGGGCAGTGTTGGTGTTGGCGTTGGTGGTCGTCGTGGTTGTTGTCGGCTTTGGTGCTCTCGAGGTTCCGTGTTGTGTGAGCGCCCTCCTAACACCCTCCTTGCTTCTCCGTACTCTTCTGCTACGGCTGTTGCTGCTGCAACTTGTTGCCGCTGTCCGGCGCCACCGCTGTGTGTCGGCTCTCCCCGTGCTGCCCCCCCCCCCCTCTCGCCCCCTTCTGTCCACTCCCAAATGCTCACCGTCTTCTCTGCGTGTCTGCCCGCCCGCGCGCGCGCATATGTGTGCGTGCGCGTGTGTGTGCGCGTGTGTGCGCGTGTGTGTGCGTGTGTGTGTGCGCGTGTGTGTGCGCGCGTATGTGTGCGTGTCTGTGCGCGTCTCTGCGTGCGTGCCCGCACTCGTCCGTACGTGTGCCCGTCCGTGCCCGTCCGTGCCTGTGTCTGCGCGTGCGGCCGTCCGTGTGCGTGCGTGCGCACGTCTGCGCGTCGCTCGCCCGCAGAGAGCCGCGACAACTCGTTCAGCCGCTCGCGCTCGTCCAGCGTGTCGAGCATCGAGAAGGAGGCGCGCGAGGCCATCACGGCGCTCTGCTACGCCGACTCGTTCGGCTGTCGCGCGGCGGGTGGCAGCCCCTCGCCCTGCCTCTGGGTGGGCACCTCCCTGGGCACCGTCATGGGCATCCTGCTCACCCTGCCCTCCGCCTCGCCCGCAGAGGCGCGCCTCTCCCAGCCCGTCATCGTGTCGCCCAGCGGTGAGCGGCACGGCGCCCCGGGCATATCCGCATCATCATCACCATCGGCATCATCGGCATCGGCATCATCAGCAGCGTCGGTGTCGTCATCACGAGAATCATCAACCGCATCGGCGTTGCATTATTTTGTTTGTTTATTCGGTTGTTTACGATGGCGCTGTTGGTGTCACCTCCGGTGCTGCCATTGCTCTCACTGCTGCTGACGGTGCGAGCGCCGCTACCGCTGCTGGAGTCCTCCGTCTCTCCGTTCCACCCTTCCCCTCCCCCCCATTCCAACGGTGCGGACGCAGGCACGGTGTTCCGGCTGAAGGGCGCCATCATGCGGCTGGCGTTCCTGGGCTGCGACGGCTCCCTGACCCCGCCGCCGGCGGAGCCGTGGCGCGACCCCAACAGCGCCGAGGAGCGCGACGAGCGGGACGGGAGGCTCTCGCGCAAGCGCCGGCCCGTCTCTGTGTCTCCGTCGCAGTCTGGGCCCGACCTGCCCGGTGAGCCGGTGCTCACTGGGCGCGTACTCCCTGCGGCGCCGGCAATAGCAGCAGCAGCAGGAGCATGTATGGACCGTGGAGGCCGAGGTCCATAAGCACGCACGGTGGCGGATCGAGGAGGGGGCGATGATGGCGGAGATCTCCCTACCCTTGAGATGGCGAATGTTGATGTTTCATTGATATTTATTAGAGACAATGCAATGAATGTGTGTGTGAGTCAACAGGTCTCTGTGTGGTTCCCTGTCTGAGGCTACGTGTCTCTGCGTGAGTCTACGGGTCTCTGCGTGAGTCTACGGGTCTCTGCGTGAGTCTACGGGTCTCTGCGTGAGTCTATGGGTCTGTGTGAGTCTCTGGGTCTCTATGCAAGTCTATGGGTCTCTGTGTGGATCTCTGGGTCTGTGTGTGAGTCTATGGGTCTCTGTGTGGGTCTCTAGGTCTCTGTGCGAGTTTATGGATCTGTGTGTGGGTCTCTGGGTCTCTGTGCGAGTTTATGGATCTGTGTGTGGGTCTCTGGGTCTCTGTGTGAATCTCTGGGTCTCTATGCGAGTCTATGGGTCTCTGTGTGGATCTCTGGGTCTGTGTGCGAGTCCATGGGTCTCTGTGTGGGTCTCTCGGTCTCTGTGTGAGTCTCTGGGTCTAGGCCTCGGCAAGGTAAGGTAATTTACCCTTTTTACCGGGTAAAAGGGTAAAGGTAGGCTCGTTGTTTTTACCTTTTACCTTACCTTGCCGAGGCCTATCTGGGTCTTTGTGCGAGTCTCTGGGTCTCTGTGTGAATCTCTGGGTCTCTGTGCGAGTCTATGGGTCTCTGTGTGAGTCTCTGGGTCTCTGCGTGAGTCTACGGGTCTCTGCGTGAGTCTACGGGTCTCTGTGTGAGTCTCTGGGTCTCTGTGCGAGTCTATGGGTCTCTGTGTGAGTCTCTGGGTCTCTGTGCGAGTCTATGGGTCTCTGTGTGAGTCTACGGGTCTCTGTGTGAGTCTACGGGTCTCTGTGTGAGTCTACGGGTCTCTGTGTGAGTCTACGGGTCTCTGTGTGAGTCTACGGGTCTCTGTGTGAGTCTCTGGGTCTCTGTGTGAGTCTATGGGTCTCTGTGTGAGTCTACGGGTCTCTGTGTGAGTCTATGGGTCTCTGTGTGAGTCTATGGGTCTCTGTGTGGGTCTATGGGTCTCTATGTGGGTCTCCGGGTCTCTGTGTGAGTGTCTGGGTCTCTGTGCGAGTCTATGGGTCTCTGTGTGGATCTCTGGGTCTCTGCGTGAGTCTCTGGGTCTCTGCATGAGTCTATGGGTCTCTGTGTGAGTCTCTGGGTCTCTGCGTGAGTCTACGGGTCTCTGTGTGAGTCTCTGGGTCTCTGTGCGAGTCTATGGGTCTCTGTGTGAGTCTCTGGGTCTCTGCGTGAGTCTACGGGTCTCTGCGTGAGTCTACGGGTCTCTGTGTGAGTCTCTGGGTCTCTGCGTGAGTCTACGGGTCTCTGTGTGAGTCTATGGGTCTCTGTGTGAGTCTATGGGTCTCTGTGTGGGTCTATGGGTCTCTATGTGGGTCTCCGGGTCTCTGTGTGAGTGTCTGGGTCTCTGTGCGAGTCTATGGGTCTCTGTGTGGATCTCTGGGTCTCTGTGTGAGTCTCTGGGTCTCTGCATGAGTCTACGGGTCTCTGTGTGAGTCTCTGGGTCTCTGCGTGAGTCTACGGGTCTCTGTGTGAGTCTCTGGGTCTCTGTGCGAGTCTATGGGTCTCTGTGTGAGTCTCTGGGTCTCTGCGTGAGTCTACGGGTCTCTGCGTGAGTCTACGGGTCTCTGTGTGAGTCTCTGGGTCTCTGCGTGAGTCTACGGGTCTCTGCGTGAGTCTATGGGTCTCTGTGTGAGTCTCTGGGTCTCTGTGCGAGTCTATGGGTCTCTGTGTGAGTCTCTGGGTCTCTGCGTGAGTCTATGGGTCTCTGTGTGAGGCTCTGGGTCTCTGCGTGAGTCTATGGGTCTCTGTGTGAGTCTCTGGGTCTCTGCGTGAGTCTACGGGTCTCTGTGTGAGTCTATGGGTCTCTGTGTGAGTCTCTGGGTCTCTGTGTGAGTCTCTGGGTCTCTGCGTGAGTCTATGGGTCTCTGTGTAAGTCTCTGGGCCTCTGCGTGAATCTTTGGGTCTCTGTGTGAGTCTCTGGGTCTCTGTGTGAGTCTCTGGGTTTCTATGCGAGTCTATGGGTCTCTGTGTGAGTCTCTGGGTCTCTGCGTGAGTCTACCGGTCTCTGTGTGAGTCTACGGGTCTCTGTGTGAGTCTCTGGGTCTCTGCGTGAGTCTACGGGTCTCTGTGTGAGTCTATGGGTCTCTGTGCGAGTCTATGGGTCTCTGTGTGAGTCTCTGGGTCTCTGCGTGAGTCTACGGGTCTCTGTGTGAGTCTATGGGTCTCTGTGTGAGTCTCTGGGTCTCTGTGTGAGTCTCTGGGTCTCTGCGTGAGTCTATGGGTCTCTGTGTAAGTCTCTGGGCCTCTGCGTGAATCTTTGGGTCTCTGTGTGAGTCTCTGGGTCTCTGTGTGAGTCTCTGGGTCTCTATGCGAGTCTATGGGTCTCTGTGTGAGTCTCTGGGTCTCTGCGTGAGTCTACGGGTCTCTGTGTGAGTCTCTGGGTCTCTGTGTGAGTCTCTGGGTCTCTATGCGAGTCTATGGGTCTCTGTGTGAGTCTCTGGGTCTCTGCGTGAGTCTACGGGTCTCTGTGTGAGTCTACGGGTCTCTGTGTGAGTCTCTGGGTCTCTGCGTGAGTCTACGGGTCTCTGTGTGAGTCTATGGGTCTCTGTGCGAGTCTCTGGGTCTCTGTGTGGATCTCTGGGTCTCTGTGTGAGTCTCTGGGTCTCTGTGTGAGTCTATGGGTCTCTGTGTGAGTCTATGGGTCTCATTGTGAGTCTATGGGTCTCTGTGTGAGTCTACGGGTCTCTCTGTGAGTCTTTGGTGAAGCACGAATCAAACTGCTCGTCTTCCCCGCCGCTGTCATCATCATCGTCGTCATCATCATCGTCGTCATCGTTGTTGTCGTTTCAGGTGGCGGCGGCAGCGGGGGTGGGCCGGGTGGAGGAGGGGGCGTCGCCGGCGGCGGCGGGGGGCCCCAGGGCGAGCAGCAGTTCATGTTGCTATGCTCGGAGAAGCAGGCCAAGGTGGTGTCGCTGCCGTCGCAGGCGGTGGCCTACAAGCACAGCATCACGGAGACGTCGTTCGTGCTGCGCGGCGACGCCGTGAGCCTGGGCGGCGCCGCCTGCCTCGCCGCGTTCTGCGCCCACGGCCACATCATGGCCTTCAGGTGCGGCCGCCGCCCCGGGCACGGAGAGAGAGGCGCACACACACACATGGGGAGTGAGAGAGAGAGACGCACACACACATGGGGAGTGAGAGAGACGCACACACAGAGAGAGATGCACACACACACATGGGGAGTGAGAGCGAGAGACACACACACACATGGGGAGAGAGACGCGCACACACACGGGGAGTGAGAGAGAGAGAGGTGCACACACACATGGGGAGTGAGAGAGAGGCACACACACACTTGGGGAGTGAGAGAGAGAGAGAGACACACACACACGGGGAGAGCGACGCGCACACACACGGGGAGTGAGGCGGGGAGGGAGAGACACACACACACATGGGGAGAGAGACGCGCACACACACATGGGGAGTGAGAGAGAGAGAGGGAGAGAGTCACACACACACACACGGGGAGTGAGGCAGAGAGAGAGGCAGAAATCGCCCGGGCGCATTGTTTGCGGCCGAGGTAATAAAGTTTGCTTGACAAGTCAAACAGGGAGGGCGAACGTTGCGGCGCGCTCAGTTGGGGTCGGAGCGGGAGCGAACGTATGGATCTCGCGTTTGTTTGTTTTTGCATTGTGTGCGTCAACGTGCTCTGTCGCAGCGACAACGGCATCAGCGGTGTTTGTCCCACCGACTGCAAACCGACACAAATAATAATGGGAATGTACTGTTATTTTGACGTGGATGGTTTTGTATGCCGATTCGCTGACAGTTTCATCGTCATAATGGGAATGTGCGAGTTGAATTGTGTTTGGTGGTCAACGAAGCTTGTCGTCAATGTTGAAGCGTAAATACAATGTGCAAAAAAAAGAGAGGCAGAGAGAGAGACACACACACGGAGAGAGAGACACACACACGGAGAGAGTCACACACACGGAGAGAGACACACACGGGGAGAGAGACACACACGGAGAGAGAGACACACACGGGGAGAGAGAGAGACACACACACGGAGAGACACACACACACGGGGAGTGAGGCGGGGAGAGAGTCACACACACGGAGAGAGAGGCAGAGAGAGTCACACACACACGGAGAGAGAGAGACACACGGGGAGTGAGGCGGGGAGGGAGGCACACGGAGAGAGAGGCGGAGAGACTTTGACTCTGTAACAACTTTTATTGCCGCCAGCAGCAAAAGCACTGGAGGCGATTTCGATATGAAACACACAAAGTCACCAGCAACACAAACGAATAAACGTTACAAATCCACGCGCTGTGGCGCTAAAATGCAGTGCCCACAACACGAAAGAAAAGTCACGTGGTGGTGGTTGTGGTCATCGCGCACGTCACGGTGACGAGCGAGCGCTTCAGAAGGTGAACACGTGGGGTGCCGTCCACGCTAGTACAGAGGGCTTTTCCGGCTCCCCAGCGTTCGAAGAAGACGTGCACATCACCGACACGTGTGTGTGGTATGCGTGCTCCAGCCGGAGCCGCGCCTTAAGCAGGCCTCTGAACACTGGAAGCAGCACAGAGCAGCCGTCAGTGTCACCTTCCAGCGTCTTTTTCCTCGTTCTGTACACCGCCACCTTCGCCTGAGCACAGGCAAAGTTGGCGAGGTCATGGCGCTTGTTAGCCAGGTAAAGGCACCACCCCATATACGAAGCTGCTGTTGTAGAAGGGAACCCCCAGTTTCCTGAAGATGTCCCCCAAAAGGCGGAACATTGGTTTGAGCCGCTGGCAGCGTAAGTACTGGTGGGGCAGATCCTCCCTGGCACCGCAGGAAGTGCACAAGTCTGTTACCCCTGGCGAGATTCGGCTGAGCCACACGGCCGATGGCAACGTGCAGTGTGCCAACCTCCACTGGAGGTCACCGCAGCGTTTGGCTACGGGAGACATGAGAGGCAGAGAGAGGGAGGCACACACACGCACCCACACAGGGAGAGAGGCGGAGAGAGGGAGACACACACACACCCACGGGGAGAGAGGCGGAGAGAGAGAGGCACACACGAACGGGGAGAGAGGCGGAGGGAGAGAGGCACACACACACCCACGGGGAGAGAGGCAGAGAGAGGGAGACGCACATGGGGAGAGAGGCGGAGAGAGGGAGACGCACATGGGGAGAGAGGCGGAGAGAGAGAGGCACACACACACGGGGAGAGAGGCAGAGAGAGAGAGGCAGACAGACGGGGTGCTAAGGAGGGGACTGACCGCCGGTGGGCGAGTGAGCTGGAGTGGATCGCCGAGTGGCCACATGCTGCTTGGTGAAGAGGCACGGGCCAGGCCGTGGCACTCTGGCGCTGGATTATCCCAGTACCCCGAGGACACAGTCGGCACCGTGCGTGTGGCAGTGTAGCGGTTAGCGCTACGCTGCGCTACGAACCCGGTGACCCGAGTTCCATTCACGGCCAACACCGGTGGCGATTATCTGAACCAGTCTTGGGCCTCCCCTAAGTCGACTCGGCCTCAAATGAGTACGTGGTGTATAAAAAAAAACATCGGCATTGGGGAGACAAAGGCGGCCGGGCGTTGTGTTGGCCACCCACCCCGTCGTGCGCCGTGCCGGCCTGCATAGGTGCCGTTACTCGCTGAACAGCACTTGCCCCCTATAGCCTGCTAATGCTATACGGGGGACCTTTGTCTTTCGCGCGCGCCTCTGCCCGCACAGCCTGCCGAGCCTGCGGCCCTTGCTGGACGTGAACTACCTGCCGGTGACGGACATGAGGATAGCGCGCACCTTCTGCTTCGCCAACGAGGGCCAGGCCCTCTACATGAGCTCCCCCACCGAGATCCAGCGGCTCACCTGCAGCCAGGACATGTGCGAGAACCTGCAGGTGCGGCCACGCACGCACGCACAGCAACAACAACAACAACCGCCGTTCGGCGCTAAGTGGCGGTGACGCCACCAAGGTGCGAGTGGCAGGCTAGGTGCACTTCAAGGCCACGTGAAGTTTCGAAGGCCTCGCTGCTTGCAGGTCACGGTGACAGACCCAGGTGCCACGGGTTGACTGACCGAGACTGGCAGATGCACGCACTCGCGCTCGCACACGATCACGTACGCACTGACAATCATGCGCTCACGCAATCACATGCGCGCATTTACTCACCGGTTTTGGTGAGTGCCGGTGAGTATTGGTGAGTGTTAGCGAATATCGTTGAGTGTTTGTGAGTGCCGGTGAGTACGGGTGAGTGTTGGTGTGTGTTAGCGAATATTGTTGAGTGTTGATGAGTGCCGGTGAGTATGGGTGAGTGTTGGTGTGTGTTAGCGAATATCGTTGAGTGTTTGTGAGTGCCGGTGAGTATGGGTGAGTGTTAGCGAATATCGTTGAATGTTGGTGAGTGCCGGTGAGTATTGGTGTGTGTTAGCGAATATCGTTGAGTGTTTGTGAGTGCCGGTGAGTGCCGGTGAGTATGGGTGAGTGATGCAGGGCCCTCCCCTTGCAGGAGATGCTGGGGGAGCTCTTCACCCCCGTGGACACCCCCGAGGCTCCCAACCGTGGATTCTTCAAGGGGCTCTTCGGGGGCAGCGCCCCCTCTGTGGACCGCGAGGAGCTCTGTGAGTCTGGGGGGGCGCCAGCAGAGAGGGGGGGGGCGCAAGCAGTGGTTCGGTGCTCATCCGGCCGTGGATTGAGACGGGGGCTGCACGCACGCACGCACGCACACGAAGTGTGTAGCTCGCACTGTGCGTGTACGTTGGTGTGAGTGGCCTTGGACGGCGCGCGAGCGATGAGTTCCCCAGGCGCCGACAACATCAGCGGCGAGCATCCGACAGCAGTCGCGGGATCCCCCGTGGTCGGCTCGGCCTTTAAACGAGGACCCCGGTGCAGAGAGTGAACTTCGGCACCGGGAAGACAAAGGCGGCCGGGCGCGGTGCTAGCCACACCCGAGCCCTTCGCGTCGCCGCAAGAGCCTTAATGGTTGCTCGCTAACCACCGAAATTCTGTGTAGGCTACACGGGGAGAAAACTTTTGTCTGTTTCCCACCTGCCTTCCCTGCCCTCGGCCCCCTACTCCACTGCCCTCTCCGCCCCCCCCCCCCCTCCGCCTCCCCCTCTTCTCCACTGCCCCCCCTCTCCGCCCGCCCCTCCGTAGTTGGCGAGACGGCGGGCAAGGCATCGCGGAGCCTGGCCCAGCACATCCCGGGCTCCGGCAGCGTGGAGGGGGTGCGCGGCGCCGCCACCGGCGTGGCGGCCGACCTGGCGCGGGCGCGGCTGGCGCTGGACGAGCGCGGCCAGCGGCTCGGCGAGCTGGAGGACCGCACGGCCGCCATGCTGGCCAGCGCCGATACCTTCTCCAAGCACGCGCACGACGTGAGCGACACACCGCCCCGTCGTCGTCGTCGTCATCGTCGTCGTCATGGTCGCCGTCATCGTTGCCATCATTATCATCGTCGCCATCATCATCGCCATCATCATCGCCATCACCATCGCCATCACCGCCACCACCGCCATCACCAGCAATGCCCACGGGTTTTTATTTTGTTTCTTAACACATTTGCTGACCACAGGCCTGAAGGCCCCAAACATTGTAAGTGGCCAGCAACAAACAGCACGATTCAAATTGTAAGACAGAAGAGTTACAAAGCAATGCTAAATATTGCACGCTCATGGCACCTACCCCAACAGCCCCCGTATGGCTATAGGGTGTGATCTTTGTCTTGCTTGTCAGTATGTACATGTTCGCCTTGTGTCTGCGTGCCTCTCAAACACACGGGAAGCAGCATGGCAGCGGTTATGCTGCACTACGAACCCAGTGACCCGAGTTTGATTCCCGCTCAGGCCCAACACCGGCAAAAAAATTATCCGAACTTGTCCTGAGCCACCCCGAGGTCGACCACTAGGGAGACAAAGGCGGCCGGGCACGATGCTAGCCACCCGCGCCCCCTCTTGTGCCGCTCCGGCTTTCATAAGTGGTGCCCTCTTAACAGCGCTTGTCCCAAAAGTCCGTTGAGGCTATACGGGGGGGGGGGGGTCTTTGTCTTTGTGTGTTTGTGTGTGTACAGCTCATGCTCAAGTACAAGGATAAGAAGTGGTACCAGTTCTGAGGACTAACACCGTCCCTGAAGCCCAACTCCCTCGATCCGGCGGTTGAGACTGAGCAGTCAAGTGGTGGTGCCATACCCTGGCCATGCCCCATGGCCATGCCCCATGGCCATGCCCCCCCCGGCCATGCCCCCCCCCCCCCTGGTCATGCCCCCCATGGATTGGGGCAAGCACCGGGAGGCGCGTGTCGCTCCGAGCCAGCCCGCACGCCGCAACCGACCCTGCCGCGTCGTATACGCGCACACGCGCACACGCGCACACACGCGCACACACGCGCACACACGCGTATACACACATACACGCGCGTGCCACCGCATCGTGTGTACACGTACACACGCCTGTACAGGCGCACGCGCGTCACGTACACGCGGTTAGACACACGCGCACGCGTATACACACACACGCGTATACACACACACGCGTATACACACATACACGCGCGTGCCACCGCATCGTGTGTACACGTACACACGCCTGTACACGCGCACGCGGTTAGACACACGCGCACGCGGTTAGACACACGCGCACGCGTATACACACACACGCGTATACACACACACGCGCATACACACACACACACGTATACACACACACACACGTATACACACACACACGCACATGCGTGTACACACACACGCGTGCCGGACGCACGCGTGCCGGACGCAAGCGCGCACGGGGAAACGACGACACGACGACCAAAAGGTAATCTACGAATGTTGGCTCGATAATCAGACTAAGTTATTCTTCTATGCCTTATGTTGCGAGGGTTATGTTTTTCACACGTTCAGCGTGCGTGTCTTCACTGTGTGTGTGTGTGCCGTGGTGGTGGTGGTGGTGGCGGGAGGGCGCAGGACTGCGGTTGGCGGTGTTTCACAGATCTCGCGAAAGCTGCACGCGAGCGAATCCCAGAGGCGGGGGGGGGGGGGGGGGAGGGGGGGGGGGCGGGGAGGGTTTAATCTCAGCCGCTGCACACCACGTTTCAGTGTCCACCACTTGTCGACCGTGAGCTTGCGGCTCCTGCGAGTCGCGTGTCACCCCCGGCGCGCTCCACTCGGCACAGCGAGCAGCACCCCGCAGAGTATTTGGTGAGACATTGAGTCTTGGCTGGGTGGCAGCAGCAGCAGCAGCTGCCACCATCAGAAGGGGGAGGTGGGGGAGGTGCCCTCCTTTCACTCACCCTGTTTAAATGTGGGGGGTGCCCCCCTTTCACTCACCCTCTTTAAATGTCTACCCCCCCCATCCCCTTCACTAGTCTAAGAACCGTGACGATGTTTCCGCTGCTCTCCGCGGTTTGCGTTCAGCAGTTTCCAATCCCAGGTGGCACCTCCTCGTCCTCCTCCATCGCCCGTCATCGTTGTCGGCATCAAACGCACACATCACCTCGCCGTGTCCCCCAACAGGGGACAGAGCCCCCCCCTTGCTGTGACCCTTCTCACTGGGGGTCACGCCCCCCGCACGCCGCCCTACCCCCTTGCCCAGTTTGTTCCTCCTGCCCCCCCCCCCCCACCAGCCCCCGTGAGAGGGGTACGGGGCGATGAAGAACGCCGTGAGTCCCCCAATGCCGTTACGAGTGTCAGTGTGCGCGTGCGTGTGTGTTTTCAGGGTGTATTGTTTGGCTGTGCGTGTCGCGTGTCTACCTTTGAGTTGATGTAGATGTCCGTCCGTGGGGTGGGTGTGCATTCGTGTGCGTTCGTGTGTCTGGTTGTGTCCTGTCGCGCGCGTGTGTGTGTGTTTTTCGACGCGTGTGTCGTGTCTGTGCACGTGCGATCGTTTGGCAGCGCGTCTGCGCGCGTGCCACAACCGTGCTGCTGTCCCTGCGTCTCGGGGCGGCCTGCGCGTGCTCCTGTTCGTGGCTCTCCGCCTGTGGACGTGTTCACGCGTTGTGCGTGCGCGCGTCAACCTGTGCGCTCGTTCACCCGTCGTTCCTCCGCGCCCTGTGTTGCGTCCGCCTGTGCGTGCACGTGTGTGTGGGGGTGTGTGTGTGTGCGCGCGTGGTGGTGTTTGTGCCTGCCTCTGCGTGTGGCTATGCTATCGCGAGTGATGTGGAAGAGCGGAGGAGAAGGAGTGGGGGGGGGGAAGGAGGAACGGGGTGTCTAGTGAGGCTGTAGTTCTCGGAATGCAAATCCTTTTGGTATGGGGGAAGGGGAGGGGGGTGGTGGTGGGGGGTGAATTAATTGGCGAAAGACGGTAGCATAAAGTAACCACTTCCCCCGCCCCCCACTCGACCGGAACATGTTGCTCGAGTGTGGCACGTGGTGAACGCGGTGCAATCGTCGCATCCACTGTTGGATGAAAGCATCGCCCGTGCCATAGTCGCACGTGTTCTGTCCACCGTTAGATGAAGGCATCAACAATGACATCGTCGCACGTGTTCTGTCCACTGTTGGGATGAAAGCATCGCCCGTCGGCATCGGCCACCTCACGATCATCGTACGGCAAGCAGATGAGCCGTCGTCATGTGCAATTGCCATCAGTCATCGTCACTCGAGCGGTGCCTATCTCCGACACTGCCCACACCATCACCGTGCTCGTAATTAGTGATCAGGTGAACACGCAACCGCCGTTCACCGCTTGGCGACGGTGATGTCATCACGGTGCTTGTGCCACGCTAGGTGCACTTTGGGGCCACGCGAGGTTGTCGAAGGCCCGCTGGCAGGAGGTGTGTCACGGGACCCAGACACTGGTGCCATGGGTTGACTGACTGCGATGGCTGGCAGACGCGCACCAGCTGTGCGCCCCCCCCCCCCCCTCACTGTGCCAAACTTCCTGCCACAACCACCAGCATCATTGTCGCCATCGGCACCTTGAGAGGACGGCTCCACTCGCTGTTGGCACCACCACCACCGTCATCGTTTAACCATCATGACTCTGAAGAGGTGCTGAAGCCCCCGCCCCGCCACCCACGCGTGTCACTCCACTGCTTTCAGTGCAATATTATTGCGACGATCGTGATGCATTGGCGACAGGCGAGATGAAAAGGGGGCGACAATATATGTATAGAAATGAAAACGCGTGAAAAATAAATAACAGTACATGTAACAAATTTAAACTTTCAAGGATACAAACGATGGGGGGGCGGTAATAATAAAACGCTTGCATGTTGTATAGAAGATTCACCGCAATGAATTCCCCACTAAGTCAAGGTTTCTCTCTATGTACGTATGTATAGCGTGGAAAAGTAGGCCAATTACCCTCAAGAGAGAGGGCTGTCTGTAGAGCTCCTCGCGGAGGCCCGTCCGCCAAAAGTGGCGTGAGTGGGGCCCCATTGCAGGGCTGCGCCTTTATCCTCTAGAGTGCTGATTGCGTTCGCGCCACGTGGCCCGCGTACACGACGGCCGGACTCCAGGACTGCGCCTCGTGCACACGCGCTCCATCAAAGCCGCTCAGCTTGAGAACCTGGTTCGACTCCTGGCTTTAACAAAGTTACCCACTACCCCCCCGTCTTGACGGAACCCCCTTTAGGGACCCCTGCAACTCCCCCCCCCCCCACCACCACATCTCCATAAAAAATATGTACAGGGGATATCCATCCACTTGTCCATCAACCCTTGCCAGCGATTACATTCCCCAATAATTTGATTCAAGGATGTCTATGGGTTTTTTTACATCGTGGTGAATATAGCGCCCTCTAGCGGCTGCAGGGTTGAAGCGGTGCCATTCCGCACACCCGAAACGAATTGGGGATGTCTGGCCCAAAGCCATTGAGAATGGAGGAGGTGGTGGGAGGATACCTGGGGTGGTACCCTGTTCAGTCCCCTGTTTGTAGGGGTCCAAGCACAAATACACACCGACCGACCCGTCAAACCTGGCTTTTGCCCCCCCCCCCCTACCCTCATACCAGTGTTAATATATTGGCTCTGTACGGGGAGCTTTGGAATATTTTTCGGAGCTCAGCCCCGGACGGCTCCTGCTGAAATTAAGCCCTGCTGTATACTTCACCAGCGGCGGCTGCCCGTGTATGGGGAGCCGTGGCAGGCGGCGCATCCACCCATATAGCTGTAATCCCTGCTCCTCCATCTTCAAAAAAGATTCACGTGGTGCGTCTGTAGACTACAGAGCCGCGTGGCGTGCGTGAAGACTACCGAGTCACGTGGTGTGCGTGAAGGCTACCAAGTCACGTGGATAATGTGCAGGCTGCGGAGCCACGTGGTCAACGTATCGACTACGGTGCCACGTGGTCCACCATAAGATGTCACCGTTATCCAAATATCTCTGGCACGAGCCAAAGTGAAGCCCCCCCCCCCCCCCACATCTGCTCACACAACCACTCTTACATCTTCCGCTTCTTGCCGCCGCCGGAGGCTCACCTTGCTCACCGATGCGAATCTACCCGGCTGATCCGCTGCTCCGTTAACGTCCTCGGAATAGTTCACCTGAGTTGCAATTTATTTCGGGAGTTTGTGGGCCCACGGCCGAGGAGGAGAAGGGAGGGCCGGGCCCGGCTTCTAGGCGCTGTATTATACAGGGGGATGATGATGATGCTCGCTCGCTCGTTCTCGCCGTGCGCTGTATTTTGCCAGGTCCTCCCGTGGTATTTAAGCCGTCACGAAATCGCGCGCTACCTTTCAGTGCGATGTACATAACGCATTGGGCAAAGAGACGCGGTCTACAGTAATAACTCTTGAGAAATAATAATAATAACAATGACGACGATGATGATGCCGGTTACGCTTCACTCTCGCCCACCACTCCCCTGTCGAGGCGTAATTTTTTTTGTACTGTGCTGGTGTTATAAGAGACGCCACGAGCTTCTCCGTCTATCTTTCTCTGTCGTTGTCCTCCACATCTTTTATCTCGATCTCTTAAGATCTCCCCCCTGTGTCTTGCCACCTCGATATCTCTGCTGTCCAAATCCCAGATGCATATATAATCTCGCGCGCCCATCTCCTTTCTCCGGTCGCTCTTCAAATATCCCTGTCCACGACTCCCCTCGTTCTCTGCCCGCTCATCTCCTCCCCCCAATCACTCATTGCTTTGTTTCCCTCGCTCGCTCGCTCTCCCGCGTCTCTCACCTCTCTATTCTCCCCATCTCGACCTCGTCACCTTCTCTCCAGCCTTCATCTCTCTCTCTCTCCCTGTTCCCTATCTCCTCTCGGCTCCCCCTTCCTCTACCCCGGCTCCCCCTTTCCTTGTACCCCACTGGGGTAGGCATCGAGTGTGCATCAGCCCACGGGGCCGGAGGGGTTCCGAGCTACAAAGAGGAAGGGGGGCGATTTGGAGAGGGGTGGAGGGCAAATCAAGTCTTGCACCATGGCACGTGCCAAGCGCGCTACGTTGCTGCTGTACCCGCATCTCCAGCTGTGTCCTCCTCGCCCCCCCACCCCAGACCAGACCCCGTCTCTAACGTCCTCTCCTCGCTAATATCCCGCTCTGTCCAACCCCTTCTATCCATCCCCCTCTATCCTACCGTTCTCTATCTCTCTCATGCTCGCCTCCTCTTGCCCATCGTCGCCTCCCGATGCGATCACTTAGGTGAGATGAGAGCCGAGAACAGGGCGACTCTTGCTCACTCACGGGGGTCGAAGAGATGCAAAGGTTCAGGGAGCAGGGGTAAAACGGACATTGCTTCTCCCCTCGCTGCTCCCATTTTGTTGAGTGTGTTCCCTCCCCATATCCTCTCCTCTCTCTCCACACCTGTCTCCCACACCTGTCTGTACACACCCGTGCTCCCCACATTCATCCACAGTCCCCTCGCCTCGCGTGTCCCCCGTTAAATATTCCTCCAACCTCCGCAGAACCGCGTCGGGATTGAACCCGGAAAGCCCGCAGGTCTGGGGCGATGGTTTCGTCTGTAACTGAGATGCGTGGAGGAATAAAGGTGCGTGGAGACACTGAGGCGCGCCTTGCTTGCTTGTGTGTGTGTTGCGTCCCCGGTATAATACAGGGCAGAGGAGCGGCGCTCACAACGAGCGGGACCGCCGGGCGAATAAAACGCAGCAGTCGTAGGGGGTCAGATGCTGGTGCATCGGCCAGTCATCTCAGTCGGTCGACCCGTGACCTCCTGCCGGCGAGCCTTCGACACTTCACGTGGCTTCAAAGTGCACCTAGCCTGGCACAGGCGCCGTGGTGACGTCACCGCCACTCAGTGGCGAATGGCGGTTTGTGCGCGTGGTGAGGGTTTGTGTGTGTGGGTCAGGGTTGGTGTGTGTGGGTCAGGGTTGGTGTGTGTGGGATGAGGGTTGGTGTGTGTGTGTGGTGAGGGTTGGTGTGTGTGTGTGGTGATGGTTGGTGTGTGTGTGGTGATGGTTGGTGTGTGGTGAGGGTTTGTGCGCGTGGTGAGGGTTGGTGTGTGTGTGGTGAGGGCTGGTGTGTGTGGGGTAAGGGTTGGTGTATGTGGGGTGAGGGGGTGTATGTGGGGTGAGGGTTGGTGTAGTGAGGGTTGGTGTGTGTGTGTGGGGAGGGTTGGTGTAGTGAGGGTTGGTGTGTGTGTGGTGAGGGTTGGGGTGTGTGGGGCGAGGGTTGGTGTAGTGAGGGCTGGTGTGTGTGGTGAGGGCTGGTGTGTGTGGGGTGAGGGTTGGTGTGTGTGTGGGATGAGGATTGGTGCGCTTGGTGAGGGTTGGTGTAGTGAGGGTTGGTGTGTGTGGGGTGAGGGTTGGTGTGGTGAGGGTTGATGTGTGTGGTGAGGATTGGTGTGTGTGTGGGGTGAGGGTTGGTGTGTGTGTGTGTGGTGAGGGTTGGTGTGTGTGTGTGGTGATGGTTGGTGTGTGTGTGGTGATGGTTCGTGTGTGGTGAGGGTTTGTGCGCGTGGTGAGGGTTGGTGCGTGTGGTAAGGGTTGGTGCGCGTGGTGAGGGTTGGTGCGTGTGGGGTGAGGGTTGGGGTGTGTGTGTGTGGTGAGGGTTGGTGTGTGTGTGGGGAGGGTTGGTGTGTGTGTGGTGAGGGTTGGTGTGTGTGGTGAGGGTTGGTGTGTGTGGGATGAGGGTTGGTGTAGTGAGGGCTGGTGTATGTGGCGAGGGCTGGTGTGTGTGGGGGGAGGGTTGGTGTGTGTGTGGGATGAGGATTGGTGCGCTTGCTGAGGGTTGGTGTGCGTGTGTACTGAGGGTTGGTGTAGTGAGGGTTGGTGTGTGTGTGTGATGAGGGTTGGTGTGTGTGGGGTGAGGGTTGGTGTGGTGAGGGTTGATGTGTGTGGTGAGGATTGGTGGGTAGGGTTGGTGTGTGTGTGTGGGGTGAGGGTTGGTGTGTGTGTGTGTGTGGTGAGGGTTGGTGTGTGTGTGTGGTGATGGTTGGTGTGTCTGTGTGGTGATGGTTGGTGTGTGTGTGTGGTGATGGTTGGTGTGTGTGTGTGTGGTGAGGGTTGGTGTGTGTGTGGTGAGGGTTGGTGTGTGTGTGTGTGTGTGGTGATGGTTGGTGTGTGTGTGTGGTGATGGTTGGTATGTGTGTGGTGATGGTTGGTGTGTGTGTGTGTGTGGTGAGGGTTGGTGTGTGTGTGTGTGTGGTGAGGGTTGGTGTGTGTGTGGTGAGGGTTGGTGTGTGTGGTGAGGGTTGGTGTGTGTGTGGTGAGGGTTGGTGTGTGTGGGGTGAGGGTTGGTGTAGTGAGGGTTGGTGTGTGTGTGGGATGAGGATTGGTGCGCTTGGTGAGGGTTGGTGTGTGTGTGTGTGGTGATGGTTGGTGTGTGTGTGTGGTGAGGGTTGGTGTGTGTGTGGGGTGAGGGTTGGTGTGTGTGTGTGGTGAGGGTTGGTGTGTGTGGTGAGGGTTGGTGCGTGTGGTGAGGATTGGTGTGTGTGTGTGTGTGGTGAGGTTTGGTGCGTGTGGTGAGGATTGGTGCGTGTGGTGAGGGTTGGTGTGTGTGTGTGGTGAGGATTGGTGCGTGTGGTGAGGATTGGTGTGTGTGGTGAGGGTTGGTGTGGTGAGGGTTGGTGTGGGTGTGGTAAGGGTTGGTGTGGGCGTGGTAAGGGTTGGTGTGTGTGTGGTGAGGATTGGTGCGTGTGGTGAGGATTGGTGCGTGTGGTGAGGATTGGTGCGTGTGGTGAGGGTTGGTGTGCGTGTGGTAAGGGTTGGTGTGGTGAGGGTTGGTGTGGGTGTGGTAAGGGTTGGTGTGGGTGTGGTAAGGGTTGGTGTGTGTGTGGTGAGGATTGGTGCGTGTGGTGAGGATTGGTGCGTGTGGTGAGGGTTGGTGTGCGTGTGGTGAGGGTTGGTGTGGTGAGGGTTGGTGTGTGTGGTGAGGATTGGTGCGTGTGGTGAGGGTTGGTGTGTGTGTGGTGAGGGTTGGTGTGTGTGGTGAGGGTTGGTGTGTGTGGTGAGGGTTGGTGTGGTGAGGGTTGGTGTGTGTGGTGAGGATTGGTGTGTGTGGTGACGGTTGGTGTGTGTGTGTGTGGTGATGGTTGGTGTGTGTGTGTGGTGAGGGTTGGTGTGTGTGTGGGGTGAGGGTTGGTGTGTGTGTGTGGTGAGGGTTGGTGTGTGTGGTGAGGGTTGGTGCGTGTGGTGAGGATTGGTGTGTGTGTGTGTGTGGTGAGGTTTGGTGCGTGTGGTGAGGATTGGTGCGTGTGGTGAGGGTTGGTGTGTGTGTGTGGTGAGGATTGGTGCGTGTGGTGAGGATTGGTGTGTGTGGTGAGGGTTGGTGTGGTGAGGGTTGGTGTGGGTGTGGTAAGGGTTGGTGTGGGCGTGGTAAGGGTTGGTGTGTGTGTGGTGAGGATTGGTGCGTGTGGTGAGGATTGGTGCGTGTGGTGAGGATTGGTGCGTGTGGTGAGGGTTGGTGTGCGTGTGGTAAGGGTTGGTGTGGTGAGGGTTGGTGTGGGTGTGGTAAGGGTTGGTGTGGGTGTGGTAAGGGTTGGTGTGTGTGTGGTGAGGATTGGTGCGTGTGGTGAGGATTGGTGCGTGTGGTGAGGGTTGGTGTGCGTGTGGTGAGGGTTGGTGTGGTGAGGGTTGGTGTGTGTGGTGAGGATTGGTGCGTGTGGTGAGGGTTGGTGTGTGTGTGGTGAGGGTTGGTGTGTGTGGTGAGGGTTGGTGTGTGTGGTGAGGGTTGGTGTGGTGAGGGTTGGTGTGTGTGGTGAGGATTGGTGTGTGTGGTGACGGTTGGTGTGTGTGGTGAGGATTGGTGCGTGTGGTGAGCATTGGTGCGTGTGGTGAGGGTTGGTGTGCGTGTGGTGAGGGTTGGTGTGGTGAGGTTTGGTGTGTGTGTGTGGTGAGGTATGGTGCGTGTGGTGAGGGTTGGTGTGTGTGTGGTGAGGATTGGTGTGTGTGTGGTGAGGGTTGGTGTGTGTGTGGTGAGGATTGGTGCGTGTGGTGAGGGTTGGTGTGGTGAGGGTTGGTGTGGTGAGGTTTGGTGTGTGTGTGGTGAGGATTGGTGCGTGTGGTGAGGGTTGGTGTGGTGAGGGTTGGTGAGTTTGGTGTGGTGAGGGTTGGTGTGTGTGGTGAGGGTTGGTGTGGTGAGGGTTGGTGTGTGTGGTGAGGATTGGTGTGTGTGGTGTAGGTTGGTGTGTGTGGTGAGGATTGGTGCGTGTGGTGAGCATTGGTGCGTGTGGTGAGGGTTGGTGTGCGTGTGGTGAGGGTTGGTGTGGTGAGGTTTGGTGTGTGTGTGTGGTGAGGTATGGTGCGTGTGGTGAGGGTTGTTGTGTGTGGTGAGGGTTGGTGTGTGTGTGGTGAGGATTGGTGTGTGTGTGGTGAGGGTTGGTGTGTGTGTGTGGTGAGGATTGGTGCGTGTGGTGAGGGTTGGTGTGGTGAGGGTTGGTGTGGTGAGGTTTGGTGTGTGTGTGGTGAGGATTGGTGCGTGTGGTGAGGGTTGGTGTGGTGAGGGTTGGTGAGTTTGGTGTGGTGAGGGTTGGTGTGTGTGGTGAGGGTTGGTGTGGTGAGGGTTGGTGTGGTGAGGGTTGGTGTGGTGAGGGTTGGTGTGGTGAGGCTTGGTGTGGTGAGGTTTCGTGTGTGGTGAGGGTTGGTGTGGTGAGGGTGTGTGTGGTGAGGGTGTGTGTGGTGAGGGTGTGTGTGGTGAGGTTCGGTGTGTCGAGCTGTAGTGTTGGCCACCAACCCACACCCCTCGTGGACCGACCGTGCCAGCCTTCCCTGGTGCTCGCTAACAGCCCCAGAGCATCGTTCCGGCTAGACGGAGACTCTTTGGCGTGTGGGCGGTGAAGGCGGTGAGTGCATAGTTGAGGGTGGCGAACGTGGCGAGCGTGGCGTGACCTCCCGTCCAGCGGCACAACGTGAGAACAGAGGTCAAGAAGACGTGTTCTGACGACGCAGTTTGGAGGTGGAACCGTCACCCGGCCGAATCCGCGGCTCTGGTCGCAGTGACCGCGGCGAGGCCGCTAGGGGCCGCTAGGGGCCGCCCTGCCGCTCGGCCTCACTGCGATGGCCGCGCTGGACAGGGTGAAGGTCCTGGTGCTGGGAGACTCAGGTAACCACCTCGTTCATCATCTTCATCATCATCACCCTCCTCCATCTTCATCGACCGTGTCGAACTCCACAACCGCCTTCTTTAGTTCTCCTGCCGTGAGCTGCACCCGCTTCGTTTTTCTACTTCCTCGCCACCTCCACCACCCTCACCACCTCCTCATATTCCACCACTTGCTTCCACCATCTCCACCACCACCAACAACAATCTGCATCTCTCTCCCCCACTACCTCCTCGTTCGCCGCCAACACCACCAACCTCCTTCCTCTGCCTCCAAACCACCTCGTCCACGCCTCCTCAACCTCGCCCGCCACTTTCCTCAACCTCGACACCCCCACACAACCTCCTCGTTCTCCTCACAATGAAACAAATTCTCTCGACGATCGCAGCAGACAACGAAAGATGTTGGCCGTCGGCACGCCGATAGGAACGGGATCCCCGGGGCGGAGGGGGGGGAGACCGCGCAGCACCGCCCGGGAAGGGCAGCCCGGGCTCGGTAGGGCTCGCTAGCCCAGCCCGCGGTGGCGATCGAGGCCTAAAACCCCTCGCACGGTTTTACTCTCTCGCTCTCTCTCTCTCTCGCTCGCTCTCGCTCTCCCTTCGTTGTTCGTTTACAAGTTGAACGTAACCCGGCATAACGACGTAACGCGCTGTGCACGGCGACCCCTTGTCAATCCACTGCTGGATGAAGGCCACTCCGACACCGGGGTCGGGTTTTTACGTGTACCAATGCCTTCGGCCAGTGCCTCTGATGGGTGCGAGTCGGCTCAGGTGGTGAGGTGATGGTTGTTGTTGGGGTGAGACCCAAAGGGAACCTTTAGACATATCGCTCGCCACTGATGTCAGCCGTGACCGGGGTGGTCGAGGGATTAATTCAGGTTGCCGGGTTTCACGGTGCAGTGCGCTAACCACTGCGCCACCGCTCCCCCTCTTCCTCGAGTGGCGTTTACGTGGCCGGACTTGGGCCCTGACGAGGCTGGGATGGGTGCATGCGACTCTGTTACTTGAATGTGGGATCTCATTACACTTTAATATGTTTACTCTTTTAACACGGCATCGGATTACTCGCGACTACGCACTCTCGTTACGTGCTGTAAAGAATCCATTGTGTCTATGGGTCCGTGTGGCTGTATATGGGTCTCTATGTGTGTCTATGGGTCCGTGTGGGTGTATATGGGTCTCTATGTGAGTCTATGGGTCCGTGTGGGTGTATATGGGTCTCTATGTGAGTCTATGGGTCCGTGTGGGTGTATATGGGTCTCTGTGTGAGTCTATGGGTCCGTGTGGGTGTATATGGGTCTCTATGCGAGTCTATGGGTCCGTGTGGGTGTATATGGGTCTCTATGTGAGTCTATTTGTCCGTGTGGGTGTATATGGGTCTCTGTGTGAGTCTATGGGTCCGTGTGGGTGTATATGGGTCTCTGTGTGAGTCTATGGGTCCGTGTGGGTGTATATGGGTCTCTATGTGAATCTATGGGTCCGTGTGGGTGTATATGGGTCTCTATGTGAGTCTATGGGTCCGTGTGGGTGTATATGGGTCTCTGTGAGTCTATGAGTCCGTGTGGGTGTATATGGGGCTCTGTGTGATTCTATGGGTCCGTGTGGGTGTATATGGTCTCTATGTGAGCCTATAAGTCCGTGTGGGTGTATATGGGTCTTTGAGTCTATGGGTCCGTGTGGGTGTATATGGGTCTCTATGTGAGTCTATGGGTCCGTGTGGGTGTATATGGGTCTCTATGTGAGTCTATGGGTCCGTGCGGCTGTATATGGGTCTCTGTGTGAGTATATGGGTCCGTGTGGGTGTATATGGGTCTCTATGCGAGTCTATGGGTTCGTGTGGGTGTATATGGGTCTATCTCTATGTGAGCCTATGGGTCCGTGTGGGTGTATATGGGTCTCTGTATGTCTGGGTCCTTGTGGGTGTATACAGTATGTGTGTCTGTGTGAGTCTATGGGTATGTGTTGGTGTATATAGGTCTCTGTGAGTCTGGGTTCGTGTGGGTGTATTATGGTTCTATTTCTATGTAGTCTATGGGTCCCTGTGGGTGTATATGGGTCTCGATGTGAGTCTATGGGTCCGTGTTGGTGTATATGGGTCTATATGTCTGTGTGAGTATATATGGGCCTCTGTGAGTCTGTGTATCTGTGTGGGTATATATGGGTCTCTGTGAGTCCATGGGTCCGTATGGGTTTATATGGTTATCTGTGAGTCTATGGGTCCTTGTGGGCATATAAGTTATCTGTGAGTCTATATGTCTGTGTCGGTATATATGGGTCTCTGATTCTATGGATCCGTGTGGGTATATAATAATGTAATTCATAACGCGCGCAAATTTGCGGACGTAACGGCCGCAACTCAGGCGCGGAGCCAAGCTCGGTCATTCGAAAGCGTGGTTGTAGAGGTGAGTTTTTAAAGTGTCTCTTGAAGGAGACGATTGAGGTTGATGCTGCGAATGTGCAGAGGGATTGCGTTCCAGACTGTTGGGGCAGCCACTGAGAAGCGGCGCATAGACGTGACCATTCTGGATCTTGGTATCAAGAGGAGGTCGCGAGTTGCACGGCAAAGGCATCTGCCGTGTGCTGCGCTGCAAGTCATCAATAATGAAGAGAGGTACGGGGGGCAGGCAGATTCGAAGGCGCGGTGGCAGAGGCAGGCGATCTTGCATGTGACCCTGCTGGCGATGGGTAGCCAGTGGAGGGCACGGAGAGGGAGGCAAGTGAGTCGAGTCGGGGATGAGTGCCGCCAATGATGACGCGTGCCAGATTGTTTTGTAGTCTTTTAATTTTTTTTTAGGTTGCCAGAGGAGGGCCGGACTAGGACGAAGTTGCAATAGTCGAGGCGAGACCCAACTCTGCAACATGCCAATGTGTTGGCAGTTTCAGTGGAGATGAGAGGACGTAGGTGTCTGAGAGCCTTCAGGTGAAAGCTACATGAACTGATGATATGATTGCTTTGACGGTCGAAGGATAAAGTTGAATCTAGGATGACACCGAGGTAGCTGAAGTGATCGGTGAACATGTTGCTGTGACCAAAGATGTGTATGTGTGTTGGGAGCGCGGATGAGTTGAGACGTTGCCTGATACCTAACATGATGGCCACTGACTTTGACGGATTAAGGACAAGGTTGTGTGCCGAGAACCACTGTTGCAAGGCAGAGGTGCATTCCGAGAGCCTCTCAAATCCAGACGCATTGGTAGAATTGATGGCGGTGAACAGAATAGTGTCGTCCGCATATGAGTGGTGCTTAACACCGAAGCTTGCGATGAGGCGGCCGATCGGGGAAGTGTAGGCTGTCAACAGCAGGGGACTGAGGATGGAGCCCTGCGGGACGCCACACAATGCTTTTGTTTCAGGAGAGTTGGACGAGCCCACCCTGACTGATGATTGCCGATCAGAAAGGTACAACAGTATCCACTTGAGTGCCGAGCCACATATACCGAAGTCGTATTTCAGGAGGAAGTAAGGAGCGAGTCGTTGACGGTGTCAAAGGCTGATGAAATGTCCAGACTTACAAGAGCAACGGTGAAGCCGGAGCCGGAGTCAATAATCGTTAAAATGTCATCGAGCACTCTGGTGAGTGCTGTATCTGTGGAGTACCGTATTTTCCCGCATATAACCCGCAGGGTAAAACACTTTTTACAAACAAAACAAGACCCTGCGGGGTATATGAAGGTGCAGGCTATCCCAAAAATATTTTACACGTGTGACATGTCCATAACTCGTTACATTTGTTCATGGTAGGGCTATCCACTATGCAACACTTACCTTTGACTAAAGCACTGCTGAATAAGCCACTCACACTAAAATTGCACGTGTTATCACGTTTTAAATTATTCCAATTGTTTGTACAATAAAAGGACAATGTTTGAAGTGGGCGCACTGTGTTTACTGGCGACGGGAGAGCTGGGGACAGGGAGAGGTGGGGGGTGGGGGGGTGGGGCAGCTGGGGGGAGAGAGGTGGGGGTTTGGGGGGTGGGGCAGCTGGGGGGGGAGGTGGGGGTTTGGGGGTGGGGCAGCTGGGGGGGGCAGAGAGGTGGGGGTTTGGGGGGTGGGGCAGCTGGGGGGAGAGAGAGGTGGGGGGTTTGGGGGGTGGGGCAGCTGGGGGGAGAGAGGTGGGGGTTTGGGGGGTGGGGCAGCTGGGGGGAGAGAGAGGTGGGGGTTGGGGGTGGGGCAGCTGGGGGGAGAGAGAGGTGGGGGGGTGGGGCAGCTGGGGGGGGGGGAGGTGGGGGTTTGGGGGTGGGGCAGCTGGGGGGGCAGAGAGGTGGGGGTTTGGGGGGTGGGGCAGCTGGGGGGAGAGAGAGGTGGGGGTTTGGGGGGTGGGGCAGCTGGGGGGAGAGAGGTGGGGGTTTGGGGGGTGGGGCAGCTGGGGGGAGAGAGAGGTGGGGGTTTGGGGGGTGGGGCAGAGCAAGGTCTGCGGCGGTGACTCGTTTCCGGTTAGTTTGCTTTCTTTGTGCACGTTATGATTTTAATGTTAACGATTGATAGTGGAATGTATTACAAATGTAAACTTCGTATTAATATGATGGAATTAAGCTGCGGTAAGGATGTTAAAGATATGAATGCATGCGGGGTATATGGAGGTGCGTCCTATCTGAATTTTTGTTTTGCGGGGTACATGCGTCTGCGGGCTATATGCGGGAAAATACGGTAGTTTTGACGGTAGGCTGACTGGAAGGAGCAGTAGTTTGGGGAGGAGGTGATGTGGGGTTTTAGCTGGGCGAGGGCGAGTCTTTCGAGGACTTTAGATAGGTTCGAGAGATTAGTGATGGGACGATAGCTAGACGGGTCATCAGGGTCGAGACTTGGTTTCTTTAACAGGGGGGAAACCAGGACAGATTTGAGGTTGGACGGAAAACACCCCGTAGAGAATGAGGCGTCTGCGATGTTCCTGATCATGACGGCGAGTTCCGGAGCGCATTGCTTGAACAAGAAACCTGGCAGGACATCGAGTGGAGATGACTTCATGTGAAGTGATTGAATCAAAGAGAAAACGTCTTTTGAAGACACCGGCTTGAACGTGGTTAGAAAGGTGTCTGGGTGAGTGCTTACAATTTCAGAAAACGGGAGCGGGGTACGATGGGAAGACGTGCAGGAGTTTTGCGATGGTGATCAGCTTGTCGGTGAAGTAAGTTTTGAAAGAAGTGGCAAGTTTCAGTGAGGCCAGGGGATCGCTAAGTTGAGGGACCCATGGTGCGACCAGGATGTAGAAGATCCTTGAGGATGCGTGGTTTTCCGGTAGCTGTTTTGATGCGTTCTTCAATGTAGGAGGAACGTGAGGCAAGGGTACGTTCGTTAGTTTTCCTGCAGGCAGCTCTGTAGGCAACTCGATCAGCAGGAAGACCACTGCGGGACACGATCCTTTCAAGGCGCCTGCTGATTCGCTTAGCAAGGCCACTGGCGGCCCCTGGTGGCCTTTAGTGCGGCCTCTGACATGCGGCCCCCTACAATACACAACATGTGAAGAAAAAAAAACCCTTGCAGGCGGTGTGGCGCCCCTCACACTGATGTCTTATCGGCGAAAGTGGCCCCCCTCAGAAATTTGGTGAAGAACGCTGGTCGAGCTCCTGCACACGAGCCAGCTTCCATCGCTCCATATCGGAGGTGGACGTGCTCTTGGGCATGTTCTCCCGTTTGGCCGCGACTCGGTCATGAGTCTCGACCGCCGCCCATCATCTCGTTCAGCCATGGAGCGTGCTGCCCGAGCACAATTAATTTTTGAATGCTTCCTAGTGACCGTGGGGAGGCGTCGCGAGTTGGAAGTGCTGCTCTCTACTGTGTGGGCCAGAGGTCAATTAAAGGCTCTGTAAATACCCGCTTTCCATGCGCTGTTCCCAGATACGAAGGGTCGCACTGCTCTGCGAGTCGTCCAAATGGATTTTAAGCCCAGTGCTGTGACGCCAATAGCCCCTCCGATAGCACAATGTGGATAAAATCGTGGATTTCCTTCAGAGTATTAGCTCCTGCGCCCCAGCTGATATTAACGCTCATGACTCGCACGTGGTTTTCTCTGCATTTTTACACACGTGTGCTTCACACACAGGCGTTGGGAAGTCATCGCTGGTCCATCTGCTCTGCCAGAACCGAATTCTCGGGAACCCCTCCTGGACCGTGGGCTGCTCGGTGGACGTGAGGGTGATTATCTCCACCGACCTTCCACCAATCTTCCACCGACCGACACGCCATATACATCACTTGACCTATACATCCTCTGTACCGCTTTCCAAGTTCCTATATGGCTTTGTGCACCAGCTCACATCCCCGTAAATTTGCCCTGAGCACCTACAGCTCACGTCACCTACAGTTCACATCACCATCACCAGTTCACATCACCATCACCTACAGCTCACATCACCATCACCTACAGCTCACATCACCTACAGCTCACATGACCTACAGCTCACATCACCTACAGCTCACATCACCTACAGCTCACATCACCATCACCTACAGCTCACATCACCATCACCTACAGCTCACATCACCTACAGCTCGCATCACCATCACCTACAGCTCACATCACCATCACCTACAGCTCACATGACCTACAGCTCACATCACCTACAGCTCGCATCACCATCACCTACAGCTCACATCACCTACAGCTCACATCACCATCACTTACAGCTCACATCACCAGCTCACATCACCATCACCTACAGCTCACATCACCTACAGCTCGCATCACCATCACCTACAGCTCACATCACCATCACCTACAGCTCACATGACCTACAGCTCACATCACCATCACCTACAGCTCGCATCACCTACAGCTCACATCACCTACAGCTCACATCACCTACAGCTCACATCACCTACAGCTCACATCACCTACAGCTCACATCACCTACGCCACCTTTTCTATCTGGACAGGACACAATGTTGCTCCCTCACACGTGTGGGTTCCCTCCGGGTGCTCCGGTTTCCTCCAGCATGTGTAAACAATGACGAATCGGCTGAAAACACCTTAATAGAGGACTGCAGAGCTTGGGCAGTTGTTGGTAGCGCCAGCTCGCCGCATGGCTTCTGCCTCCGCGCCCATATCTACGGTTCCTCCTCGCGCCTCTGAGTCATCCTCTCTCTGTCTCTTTACCTTGGAGAGCGAGTGAACGTTCTGTGGCGGCGGCGGCAGCACGTTATGAGTTGACATCGTTATTAAATCGACGATCGCTGTGCCTGCACGCACGCACGCACACGTGCATTCACACACGCACAGCTGCACGACTACAAGGAGGGCACGCCGGCCGAGAAGACTTTCCACGTGGAGCTCTGGGACGTCGGCGGCTCCGTGGGCAGCGCCAGCAGCATCAAGAGCGCCCGCTCCAACTTCTACAGCTCCTCCAACGGTGCCACCCACGCACGCGCCAGACGCCCCAGACATGCACGCGCATTCAGGAGGGTCATTTGCTCTGAAGAAGGGTCATTACCTGAAATGTCGCCCATTTGATATCTCTATATATAGTTCACTTAGTGCCACAGCAAGAAGACATGGGCACGATTCTCTGCTTGACTCAGGCGCCCTTTTGCGTGGAATTTGTACATCCTCCCCATGAGGGCGCGTTGCTCCGCTTGTGTTGCCTTCCGCGGAGCATTGTGTGTCCCCCGCCCGTGTGGCTGTCTGGGCGGGTGTTGAAGTGATCTTGTCCGACCCGCAGGCATCATCCTGGTGCACGATCTCACCAACAAGAAGTCTCTGCAGAACCTGCACCGCTGGCTTCTGGAGGCGCTCACTCGAGAATCCACGCCTACCGCTGTCCTTGTCTCCAACGGGTGCGTGCGTGCGAGTGTGTGTGTCTGTGTCTGCTTGGACGTGTGTGTGTGTGGGAGCGGTGGCATGGCGGTTAACCTGCTGCACTACAAACCCGGCGACCCGCGTTCAACTTCCCCACACACAGCCAACATCGGCGACGAATATCCCAACCGGTCCCAGGCTTAACCCAGGGTTGACTCAGCCCTAAACGAGTACCTGGTGCGGTGTGTAAACATCAGCATCGAGGAGGCAAAGACAGGCTGGCATGGTGTTGGCCCCCCACCCACTCGTGTGCAGCGGTGGCCTTAATAGGCGCTCGCTAACGGTACTTGCGCCAGCAGTATGGCTATCAGGGGTCTTTTTTTTGTCTGCGTGCATGCATTTTCTCTTTTTTATATTTTTCCCCAAGTTATTTGGTCGGAATGTTGGAAAATAATAATTGATTCATTAACGATACAGGAAATCCACCTAGAATCCAGTGATTCTCTTTCAGGAGGGTCCAGCCAGCAATTGGGTTTTTATTTTAAGGTGTTTTCAGCCAATTAATGATCATTCATACAGGTGGGAGGAAACAGGAGCAGCTGGAGAAATCACACCACGCGTGTGAGAGTTGGATGGGGGGGGGCAACTCTCTAGACCAGTACAGCCGGAAACAGATGGATCATCAGCCCAAGTTTTTACTGTGACCGCCTTCTCATGGCGAGCCAGGGTGTGTGGCACCTCCTCGACACCCACGGGATGGGAGTTTCGCAAACGCTTGCGTGATCCACGAACCGACGCTGCCTCCCCACGGAGGTGTGAAGCACGTGAAATATTGCGAGTTTATTTCGACGCTGATAGTTTTTGTCCTGCGCGAACAACGGGTCACCGAGCTGATGACCCACCATCAGCTCCCTGCAGATGAGAACCCAGTATAGTCATGGCTGGGTGGCTAGATTCTCACCCTTAGGAACCTGGGTAGAGTTTCTTGTTTGTTTGCTCTTTAATCCTCTGGACCAGGGGCGGGGAACTTTTTTTTCCGCCAAGGGCCATTTGGATATTTATAACAGCATTCGCGGGCCATGCAAAATTATCGACTTAAAAATGAGCCCGTTATATTTGGTCAAACATTTAATTAACTCGCCCCTAATTAATGCGATGGCTGGAACAGACCAAATTATTTCGCGGGCCTTATACGGCCCGCGGGGCCTTATACGGCCCGTGGGCCTCATACGGCCCGTGGGCCGGACGTTCCCCACCCCTGCTCTAGACTCTGGACCAGGTTTTATCCAACCGGCTGTCATGACACCACCGGCACCAGCGGGATCCCATTGTCCTCGCAGGCATTGAGTAAATACAATATAAGGTGTCTTATTTGTTCTCTGAAATGTTATTGTAATTATGATAATGATAGCAATTCAGGAAAGTCTCCCCGAGTCTCAGGAGTCTTTATCTGCAGGGTCCTGTTACATTGATATGTTTGGCTATGAATTACACGAGCGATGAGAGGTTAGCTTTGCGTGGGAGGAAACTGGGGGGAACCCAGAGGCAACCCATCACGCATATTCATATATATATTACTACGGTTACTGAGGACTGGCCCAAAACACAACGCAACCAGCAACAAACAGCACCCGTATCAAAGTTGTAAGAGCAAGGTTACTGTAAGAGCTTGGCGGGGTGGGAGGGGGCAAAAGAGACGATGATGGGAGGAGGGAATTGCCGAGTGGAGCAGTGCGAGGGAAGAAGCAGAGAGGGTGAGGTGAGGTGACCTGCAGTGTGGTGAGTGGGCGGGTGGGTGAGTTGAGAGCGTGAGTGAGTGAAGAGGTATGTCAGTACGCGACTGCATTGTGGTGACCTGCAAGTGTGGTGTTAAACCCAGTGTGGATGAGAGCAGGTAAAATTCAAAAACCTGCACAGATGGATTCAATAATCCATTTTATTTTCTGGGAGTTTTACAAATCCTTTCTCTCCAAGGTGCTGGATTACAGGCTTGCCTAGCCACCACTAAACAAATTCACAATTACTCTACTCTACCATAAAAAAACACCATATGTAATCCTGAGTAATCTAACCTTCAAAGGTGCCACGATTGGATTCATTCCTTTGGCAGCCAAAGAATGTAACACATGCAAGAGAACATCCACCCGGAAGACGGAGTGATGAAATCGACTCTTGTGTAGGTGCATAGCGCGTCGCTACATCGCGTGGCGCCGGCTTAGGGAGGGCTTCATCCAGCAGTGGATTGATCACGGTGGCCGCCGATAATGAATCGCCACACGTGGGGGGAAAAAAAAAACTCAACGTCTAAGCGTGTCGCCGGTCAGGATGAATCTCGCTCGGATCTCTCGGCTCGCGGCGTCGTGGCATTCGTGGCTCCATGCCGCCAAACCCGTTGGTGGTAGCGACAGCGGGCCAAGCCGTCCTACAGCATCATCACGATAGCATCACCCCCCCTCCCCCCAACCAACTCCAACCTGTGTCGCAACCCTCCGCTCGTGGTTGCGATGGAGCCGCGCTGCCCTCTGCTCCCCTGGGCGGGGGACTGCCAGCCTCTCGGCACCTGTTTTGCCAGCTGGTCGCCAAACGCATGCAGTTAGCCGGAGTGGCCGACCGACCGACCGACCCAGGAACGAGAGCAGCCTTTGGGCCTGCGGAGAAGGAAACGGCGTCGCGGTCGCGAAACCCCGTTGGGGGCAACGCGCGGCAGCGTCGGACACGACGAAGTTCCTCGTGCCGGACTCGACACGAGAGAGTTCTGAATGTTTTTGCCGGCGGCTTTTCAAGTGCCGTGCGAGAGGAGGAATGAACTTGACTTGAAGCTTTCGTGACTGCAGGGATTCATATTCTTTGGGTCTTTCGGTAAAGTGACGTAGATGGGTTAAACAAAAACGACGACTTTTCGATCGCAACACAGGCGGTCGTCCTGATGACCGCTTGTGTTGCGATCGAATAGTCGTCGTTTTTTGTTATTTTCTTTAAACCTATCTACGTGACTTTACCGGAAGACCCAAAGAATATGAGGCATTAACTCTTGAACGCTATGCAGGCTCAAGCATTCTTGGCGTACCGAGAACTGACAAGAATCGGGGCGCATTCCAGGTGATTTAGGTCATGGCCAATGTAGTAGGTATTGCCTTTTGGAAAAGAAAAGTTATCATAACTTGGCCAAACAAACGTTCTTCAGTTGCAGAATGTTGTGCAAACGGATCAACTCTTCAAACAAAACCGCCTTCCCCCCCACAGCTGTGGAAATTTTTGAAATAACCTAACATGTAAATATCTTCCACTTAGAGTGTTGTCCTCATGTGTTGACGTAGTTACGGTTGTGCGTTTGTCGCTCGTGTTAACAGCCCGTAAGTCATCACCCCGAGTGACAGTGTTGTGTTGCCACACTGCTTGCGTTCCTAGACGCAGCAACACCTCAGGGGTGCGCTGCTCACGAACGGCAGCAAGGCCCGACGACCAATCACGCCGTGCGTGTGTGGCACATGACCACCACACTGCACGTACAATGCCCTTAGCTTTGTCCTGCTTTTGGGAGTGCCTTTGTCCTCGTACCCTTATTATGGTACCCGTACTATAGTACCCGTACGTTAGTATTCGTACATTTGTTCCCGTACGTTCGTACCCATGTGTTAGCATCCATTTGCTACCCCCTGTGTGTGATCCATTCTGTGTTAGAGCACCATCTGTTATCCCCCGTGTATTATCGCCCCTGAGTGTTACAGGCTCCTGCGTGTTGTCCGCTCTCTGTTCTCCTCTACGGTGTAGCTCACGTGCTGTCCCTCTCCATGCTGTCCCCCTCCATGCTATCTCCCGCGTGTCATCTCCCGCGTGTCATCTCCCGCGTGTCATCTCCCGCGTGTCATCTCCCGCGTGTCATCTCCCGCGTGTCATCTCCCGCGTGTCATCTCCCGCGTGTCATCTCGCCGCGTGTCATCTCGCCGCGTGTCATCTCCCGCGTGTCATCTCGCCGCGTGTCATCTCCCGCGTGTCATCTCGCCGCGTGTCATCTCGCCGCGTGTCATCTCCCGCGTGTCATCTCGCCGCGTGTCATCTCCCGCGTGTCATCTCGCCGCGTGTCATCTCCCGCGTGTCATCTCCCGCGTGTCATCTCCCGCGTGTCATCTCCCGCGTGTCATCTCCCGCGTGTCATCTCGCCGCGTGTCATCTCCCGCGTGTCATCTCCCGCGTGTCATCTCCCGCGCGCTAACGCCACGGCGCCGTGTGCCGCGCAGGGACTGCTTTGACCGCGAGCAGTTTGCCGAGTCCCAGGTGCCGCTGCTCGTTATCGGCACCAAGCTGGACCAGGTGGCCGAGAGCAAGCGCGCCCAGGTGCTCTCCCGCGTCTCCTTCCTGGCCGAGGACCTCAGTGCCGAGGAGATCCACCTGGTGAGCCGGTCCCCCAATGTACTCGCCTGTACCCACAAATGGCGGCCGCTACCCGCGAGTCCCCACTTTACCCACTGGAACCCGCCGATTACCCGCCGGTACTTGCAGATATCTACTGGACACCTGTCAAAACTATTGGACATCTGTGAAAAAGAACTGTACAGCTCATCGGATTCCTCCAGTATGAATAAATATTCTGATTCTGATATCCGCTGATACCCGTCGATATCCACCGATACCCAGTGTACTCACCTATACCCACCAATAGCCGCCAATACTCACGAGCACCCACTGGTACCCGCCGATATACATTGGAACCCGCCGTTACCCGCCGTTACCCGCCGGTATCCGCCAGAACCCACCAATACTCTCCAGTATCCACCGCTTCAAGGCCGTGGCCGGTGGATAAATGAATGCCCGTCGGCTATTGGAACAATCGAGAGGAGATGGACCACGGTGCTTTTGGATGTCGGGGCATTCAAGCAAGCGCCACTATGCCCCGCGGATCCGTCTTCCGCGTTCCTTCTGGCAATTGATGTTTGAGCGTTCTGCTTTTGACCAGGGACGCTTTCATCGTGCTCTCAGGAGCATTCATGAAAAACCGGTCGGTTATTTCAGCTCGGGGGAGTGGGGAGGAGGTACTTGGTTAATTTGGCTGCGCGAATGCCTGTGTCATGTGACACCAGTGACTTCCCCGCCCCCCCCCCCCCACCACACACATGGCACATGCTGTGACACAGCTTGCAAGTAGTCGGCTGGGGAACGTCCAGATGACTGCGATACGAGATGCACGATAACTCGATTGTGTCCGTTGACCGCGGGTAAAGAGGCATTGAGCCGTGCGAAAGCTGGTTCACGAGAACGGCCCACGGAGGACCCTTGGGGAGAGCAATAAAAAGGGACATTGCAGACACCGAGTTGCAAACACTTCCGAGGGAAGCCATTCAAAGCCACGCGCAGTTCAAATAATACTGGCGGCGTCTGAACGGAATGTAGCGCCAGCTCGCATGGGGGTTCACTCGCCACAGTGTGGATTTTTTGTAACGGCGTCTAAATGCAACCATATCTCAAAATGCCGTACAGGAACTGCGCGCACGTGCGTGTGTCTATGTTATAGAGAGAGGCGGTCGATCATGGGCAGAGGAGAAGCGGACGCCTGGGAGGAAGGAAATTCTCGACCCTGAGGGCAGCAGAGGGTCTCTCCCACTGAGTGAGATTGACTGCGGGCTTCAATGGATAACTTTGGTTGCTGGAGCGCAGAGTGATGGAGGGCGAGTAGAGCGAAGTGAGAGGGAAGAGGTAGGAGAGTGCGTGGAGGGGGAGTAGAGCGAGATGAGAGGGGAGAGGTAGGGGAGTGTATAGAGGGGAGTAGAGCGAGATGTGAGATGTAGAGGGGGGAGGACAGTGAGAGGACAGGAGAGGGGTAGCCAGGGGTGAACCCACGAGGTGGAGCCTCCAGCTGTCCATGTAACAACACTCCACGCGGCTCCACGCCGGTGCCCCATCTCACATCCGCTGCGCGTGCCGCCCGTTGCCTCCACTTCCCCCCACCCCCCCCCCCGTATTGCAGGACTGCACCAGCCCTCGCTATCTGGCCGCTGGCTCCTCCAACGCCGTCAAGCTCAGTCGCTTCTTCGACAAGGTGAGCAATGCCGGCCGCCTCCCCGCCCCAATCGGAAGTGTTGGTGCGTGCGTGCGTGCGTTCGCTTGCCGTCCGTCCGTCCGTCCGACGGTCGGTACGCATGCGGGGGTCACGATCACTTTCGTCAAGGCGACCCGATTTACCAGCCAAAGCTGCGTTCGACCATTGAGGACTCGCCCAGCAGGGAAACAGACTGGCCACGTCAAAGGGTCCTTGCCTGAACTTGGCAATAAAACAAAACCCCCCCGGGGCTTAGGTGGCCTTGTCGGCCGAGGCAGCGGTGGCACGCGGCGTGCCTGTGCCGCACCCAGCGACGTCCTCTCGCCTTTCCGCGCTCGGAACTGTAATCAAGCGCTCTTGTGGTGTCTCTCGCGTGATTTGCGTGCCGACAGTCCACGTGGGGGGGGTGGGGGTGGGTGGGGGCAACGAAGCCGAAACGAGCGACCCCGGGGTGAAGGCCGCGGTGCCCCCGCCGGGTGTCGGGGTGGGGGGGGGTGGCGTACGGATTGTTCGGCACCTTCTGTCGCGACCTCCGATTGGCACGGTTGGCTTCGTGCGGCGCGAAAGAAGCTCAACGTACACACGTGCACGGCTCTGTCCGGCCGCGGGTTGGCTCGGCGGCAGAGCAAGCGGCTCGCTTTGGGAAAGTTTGCGAGGTCAAGTCCTGCTCGTGGGTTAACTCAGTTCATTGTCACTCCGGGGTCGATACAATGAGTACGGTTATTCCCAGGAAGTCAGCAGTCGGTGTCCTGCAGAGATACTCGCCCCCACCCACCAAAGGAATGTGGAATGTCCACAACTGGCTCTACAGGGTTATAAACGGGGGGGGGGGGGGGGGGGGGGGGGGGGGGGGGGGATCCGGGCCATGGATACGAATCGTGGTCATGCAGACACTCCGTGCCACACTGCTCTGGGTGACAATTAATCTTCAGTGAGTGTCTTGTTCGGGACATCACAGCCTGCCCGCATGTCTCACCACCTCTTCGCAGCCTTAACAGTGCCTCCCACGCATTTTGTGCATATCTCTCCCAACAGGTGATTGAGAAGAGGTATTTCTGCAAGGAGGGCGTCAGTCAGGTAAGTGCAGAGATGTCATCTAACAAGAATGCTGAATATTCTCCCGTGTTGCTCATCACCTGGAGCAGGTGGTGTGTAAGGAGCAGCAGCCACAGATATGGCGAAAGGTTTACTGGATGTGGTGTGCCGGTTGCTGGGGAGAAATTACTCTGAACCACCGTACATCACGGCGAGAATATTTCCCAATAAGAATCTCTTGTGTTTGTTCATCTTATTATTTTCAAAACCACGTTGAATGTTTTATTCGTTCCGAAAGAAGCGTAACCAGTGGGGTTATCATTTAGCGGCGAACGTCACCAAGGGCTGGGCCGGCGACGACGCGGCCCAGCGGCGGGCGGCGGCGTTGCGTTTGCCGCTTGTTGCCGAGGGTTTTCGCGGTTCCACCCCGGCAGGCCGGGTGGCCGGCCGGCCGGCCGGCCGGCCGCCCGCCCGCCCAGCCGCCCCCCGGTTGACGCTTCGGTGTGGGCGAATTGAACCCGGAACAACTCCGCGCCGTACGCTTCGCTCAGAGTGGACGCCCCTAGAGATCCCGCGACGTCGTTCGACGAGCGACGGCTATCGGCGCGCCCGTGTCACGCGCCCGCGTCACGCGCCCGTGTCACGCGCCCGCGTCACACGCCCGCGTCACACGCGTCGCTCACTGTTTGAGTGCCTTGCTGACGCCGCTGCAACTGCCAAATGCACCGAGTCGATATCCACCCACCACTCTGCCGCCGGCTGCCCCCCCCCCCTCCCTCGTCACGGATCCAAAAGGTCACGTGACCCACACTCGAGTTGGGCAGAAACACTTGTGTTCGTGTTTTGAAGCAATAAGTCTCAACGTCTTTTAGCGTTATTCTTATTTGTAGATGCGCACTTTTCCCAGTGCACTTCACTCAACTAAACTGTTTAAACTATTTTTTTATTTTACCAGGTAAGTGTCCACTGAACTATGCCGTTATTTTTGAGAAGCAGCCTTGGCCACAAGTGACAGCTCAACAAAATCGCTCATCGCGGTGAAATTCATCACAGGCAAATACTCTCAACGCAAGAGTCTCAATGTGGAGGGAGACACCGGAGGACCCGTAGAAAAGTTCACGCGACCACGCGGCGAGAAACATGCAAACTAAAAATATACAGGCTTCGCGGTCGGGATCAAACCCACGACCTCCTGTATACCAGGCGAGGGAGTTAACATCTCGCCACCGCAGCGCCTGGAAATGACAGTAATAGCAACGGATTCTTGTATCCATCGGTGCAGACCTTTGATTGTTGCACCCACGTACACGGAGTTTTCTCACACATGAACATGAGTGGAATTGTCTAAACATACCAATGGTGAATGCGGTTCTCGCTGTGATGCTTTCCTGGGCTCTGGATTGCTCACAGGCACTTAACCACGGTGTGCAAGAGTGCTACGAGAGTGCGCGCAAGGAACCAAACCATTCACGGTTCCCTAAATATTTGCGCACATGCAACCTTTAGGTCCACGGACAGAGCAAGGCGGAACGCTTGAGACAGGCGGTGTCAACGGTACGGCGGATGAGACACGGGACAAACGGGTCGGACCGTGCAAGTGAGATAGACGGTGCCGACGAGACGCAGCTAACCCGGGGCGGGCGGTCCACGTGACGCTCGAAACGAGACGATGAGAACGAGGCAAGGCGAGAAAAACGCGGCGGACCGAACCAAAAAAAGGGACGCGGGGAAAGATTCCGTTGATTATTCACGCCGCATGCTAGGCCTCGTTACAACCCCCCGCCCCCACCACCATCACTCCCTCTCCACCGTACCCCTCCACGCCATCCCTCCCCACCACCGATCGCCCACCATCACCTCTCTCGGTTCAAGGGGCTTTATTGCACCTGAGCGTGGAATTCAGGCATTCCTGACCGACCAAAAAAATGTAGGCGCAGACATAAACAATGAGGTAGGCACTGTACATTCACGTGATACAAATCAAGGAAGGGCACTCGTACTCCCTTCAGCATCGCCACCATCACCAGCAGCATTAGCAGCCATATCCATCATTGTGATTATCAGCATCATCAATATCACCCAATGAGGCTCATCCTGGTCCATTGAGTTCTCACCGTGGTTAAAAAATAAACCCCGACTTTCATGGTCATCAGGATCATCAGCAGCAAAAGCATCGTCGGCATCAGCAACAGCATCAGCATTGTCATCAGTATCACTATCAGCAGCAGCGGCAGGTGCAACAGCATCGTCCTTGCCCATAAGCATCATCATCCACGAAAAATTAATTCCTCATTTAACGCAGTAGATGCTCACGTGAAACGTGCCGCGTCAAGCAAAAACACGTGAAGCGAGGAATAGACGCATACAATCTACATTGCAGGGCATGAATAAACAAGAACGATGCGAGCTTTAATCTCATTTGCACTCCAACGTCAGCCTGTCGGCATCCCCCCGTGGGAGAGAACTCGGATGAGGGTACGCCGCCGCCACGTACCGTGTCGTTCCGCGTACTTTGTCATGCCATGCGTGTGCCCAGAATTCCCGCGCCGCTCGGCCGTACAACTCTCAAGAAAGCAGTCCGTCGTCGGCTGCTCAGAAACTGCGTGAGAACGGCACACGCATTCCACGTTACAACGCTACAAGAACGGGCGCGCTACGCGGCGTAGTGGGTCCGCGCTTCGCGTTGTAACGGCGCGCGCGTTGTGCGAGAAGTGTCCCCGAATGAGGAGGGCCGCGTTGGAGCCAAAACGCGTCGCAGTGTGAACACCGCGCGCCAAAGCGAGGACTCGCCGTATATCGTGACGCACACGCTGCGCTGCGAGCACCCACGACTACCGCTCCGTGCTGTTGTTTTTGTTGTTCCTTTACTTGCAGCTGAGCGCCTTTTCTGAGCGCCGACGTTTCGGGGGCAGCAGCAGCAGCGGCGGCGGCGGCGGCTACGGGCGCTCGCACCACGACTGAGCGGCGGCTCAACGAAACCACGGCGACAAGCAGCATCTCCGCGGTTACAGACGTCGCCGTGGATACGAACGTCACCGTGGATACAGACTTTATCACCCGCCACGACTACTGAGCGGCAGCTGCAGGCGGAGCAGAACAACGGCTACAGGTCTCACCGGCGCAACCGAAACCACGGCTGTGGGCTGCGTCTCCATGGACACGGACTGCTTCACCGTAGCGGAACCATGGCTACAGATGGCATCACCATGGCGACAGTCGGCATGAGCGTGGTCACAGGGCGAGTCGCCATGCTTACACGCTGCGTCGCAGTGACTCTACCGTGGCTACCAGTGGCACCGCTGCGGTCACAGGCGGCATCGCCACGGCTACAGCTGCATCGCCATCGGATACGCATCGCATCACAAAGACTGGACCGTTCCTGCAGTTGGCATAACCATGGTTTACGAATAGCATCACCATGGCCACAGGCTATCTGCCTGTGGCCACAGTCGCCTCTGCTCTGCCGCTCCCCGTCTATGATGGGCAGTCGTCGCTAATTGGCTTTGGTGGTTGGGATTGGAAGTATGGTGGGGGTGGGCGGGGGGCTGGGGCAATCGTAGCTGTTTGTAAATTTTCAGATTTTTGTAAATGTGGAGGGGAGCCTGTGATTTTCTTCGTTCCGCGTTTGCAGTGAAACTCTGAGCTGTAAATGGCGGCGAGCGCTGGACCCCTTGTGCGTGAGTGACGGGCGTCTGCGTGGCGCGGTCGGGGCGGGGCCTGGTGCTGTCCGCAACTCCTGTGCCTTAAATCGGCGGGCCAGCTGGGTTGGTTTTATGGCCAATGGGGTCGTTGTAGGGCCAGTGGGGTGGTTGTAGGGCCAGTGGGGTGGTTGTATGGCCAATGGGGTGGTTGTAGGGCCAGTGGGGTGGTTGTAGGGCCAGTGGTGGGGTTGTGGGGTCGTCGTGGGGTCGTTATAGAGCCAGTAGAGTCGTCGTATGGCCGGGCGAGACATGTGAGAGCAACAACATCCCACGACGGTGCTAGCGCTCCACCATCGACACGTGTTGCCAACCCTTACCACTTTGAAACGTTGAGCGCGAAAAACGCGACGCCGCCGTCACGCCGCCCGGCTGCGCTCGCTCGCCATTGGGCTCCGCGTCGTTCACTTTGTGTTCACGTCGCTCTGTCTGCGTGTCGTACGTCGTGAAGCGTTAACAATCGATTAGAATACATGGATCAATGCGCCATCGCTTGACCTCGTGACCTCTTCCCTTGACATCGCCTTGGGGGTTCAGTTCACAGCGGGAGAAGGAGCGAGTGCAAGTACGAGTGAATGAGTGAACGAGTGTCGGTGAGCGAGCACGCGGAAGAGCGAGACGGTGTGTGTGTGCGGAGCGGTGGCGGAGTGGTTAGCGCACTGCACCACGAACCCGGTCGGTTGGTGCACTGCACTACATACCCCGGTGACCCCAATTAAATTATCGGTGACGACCAACAGCGGTGACGAATGTCTGAACCGGTGCGGAGCTTCTCCTAGGTCGAGTCAGCCTCAAATGAGTACCCGGTGCGGTGTGTAAACATCGCCATGAGGGAGACAAAGGCGGTAGGGCGTGCTTGCTGGCCACCCACCCCCTCGTGTGCCGTGCCGACCTTCATCGGTGCTACTGGCTACCAGCACTTGCCCCAACAGTCTGTTTCAGGCTACACGGGGGCGCGGGGGGAGTGTCTTTATGAGTCATTGCTCATGCCAGCTCATACAGCAGACCACGTCGCACGCGCCTGGCATCTCTCCCCTGCCTTGCACGCGCTGACCCCATCCACGATGTGCATCCAAACTCCTCTCCACCGTCAGCTGTGACCCAAAGCAAGATGACGCAAGTGGTGTTTACAGGGCGGGGATGGGCGGGGGTGTCAGTTGGCGTTGTATTCAGTCGGAACAGTCCAGAGCGTTTTTTCAAATATAATTATACACAGTCGAACGCTTTGGGCAATTGGGCCATCTTTAGAGGAGTCAGACAGGTCGAGTGACATCCCCGGAGACGGTTCTAGTCCAGTGAGTTTAATTCGAAGCAGGCGAGGAGGTGGTTGAGATCGTGTCTACCCCGTGCACTGCAATGATGGAAACATTTGTTAGCCTCGCTGAGTCTCAACTCGTCTTCTTTTTCAGGAGCGTCCTGCCAATTTTTCTCAGTCTGTGTGGCGGTGGTGATTGGGGATTGGCGGTGTTGCTGAGACTCGGCGAGGCTGTGTGTGATCCAAATAGGGTGATGTCCAAGTGAATTGACAGCATTCAGATGTTTTTGGCAACCAGTTCCACGCTGTTTGTATGTGTGTGTTTAGCTGTGGGAGAAGGAAACCCACACAGAGCGGCGGGAGAGAATACAAATCTAGACACGGACTCCCGAGTCGGGGAGTCGAACTCAGGCCCCTCTAGCAGTAAGGCGTTAGCACTGCCGCCGCCCTGAGAAGAGAGAGACGCGTTAGTTTCACTTCGTGAGAACTCGCGGGCACAGCAAGAGGCTCGTTTTGGAGAGTGGTCGTTTACGGAGGAGAGACGTATTCGGACGAGGCGGGAAGGCGTGCCCCGAAACATTGGTGCAGAAGTGGGCGTGTTTAGAAGACCACCGATGAGAGCCGCAGGGGGAGAGATTTGTGTCAGGTGTAGTAGGAGATGAGAGAGACGTGTCAGGTGTAGTAGGAGATGAGAGAGACGTGTCACGTGTAGTAGGAGATGAGAGATTTGTGTCAGGTGTAGTAGGAGATGAGAGAGACGTGTCACGTGTAGTAGGAGATGAGAGAGACGTGTCACGTGTAGTAGGAGATGAGAGAGACGTGTCACGTGTAGTAGGAGATGAGAGAGACGTGTCAGGTGTAGTAGGAGATGAGAGAGACGTGTCAGGTGTAGTAGGAGATGAGAGAGACGTGTCACGTGTAGTAGGAGATGAGAGATTTGTGTCAGGTGTAGTAGGAGATGAGAGAGACGTGTCACGTGTAGTAGGAGATGAGAGAGACGTGTCACGTGTAGTAGGAGATGAGAGAGACGTGTCAGGTGTAGTAGGAGATGAGAGAGACGTGTCACGTGTAGTAGGAGATGAGAGATTTGTGTCAGGTGTAGTAGGAGATGAGAGAGACGTGTCACGTGTAGTAGGAGATGAGAGAGACGTGTCACGTGTAGTAGGAGATGAGAGAGACGTGTCACGTGTAGTAGGAGATGAGAGAGACGTGTCACGTGTAGTAGGAGATGAGAGATTTGTGTCAGGTGTAGTAGGAGATGAGAGAGACGTGTCAGGTGTAGTAGGAGATGAGAGAGACGTGTCACGTGTAGTAGGAGATGAGAGAGACGTGTCAGGTGTAGTAGGAGATGAGAGAGACGTGTCACGTGTAGTAGGAGATGAGAGAGACGTGTCACGTGTAGTAGGAGATGAGAGAGACGTGTCACGTGTAGTAGGAGATGAGAGAGACGTGTCACGTGTAGTAGGAGATGAGAGAGACGTGTCACGTGTAGTAGGAGATGAGAGGGATGAGTCAGGTGTAGTAGGAGATGAGAGGGATGAGTCAGGTGTAGTAGGAGATGAGAGAGACGTGTCAGGTGTAGTAGGTGATGAGAGAGACGTGTCACGTGTAGTAGGAGATGAGAGAGACGTGTCAGGTGTAGTAGGAGATGAGAGAGACGTGTCAGGTGTAGTAGGAGATGAGAGGGATGAGTCAGGTGTAGTAGGAGATGAGAGGGACGTGTCAGGTGTAGTAGGAGATGAGAGAGACGTGTCAGGTGTAGTAGGAGATGAGAGAGACGTGTCACGTGTAGTAGGAGATGAGAGAGACGTATCAGGTGTAGTAGGTGATGAGAGAGACGTGTCACGTGTAGTAGGAGATGAGAGAGACGTGTCAGGTGTAGTAGGAGATGAGAGAGACGTGTCAGGTGTAGTAGGAGATGAGAGAGACGTGTCAGGTGTAGTAGGAGATGAGAGAGACGTGTCACGTGTAGTAGGAGATGAGAGAGACGTGTCAGGTGTAGTAGGAGATGAGAGGAGACGATGTCAGGTGTAGTAGGAGATGAGAGAGACGTGTCAGGTGTAGTAGGAGATGAGAGAGACGTGTCAGGTGTAGTAGGAGATGAGAGAGACGTGTCAGGTGTAGTAGGAGATGAGAGAGACGTGTCAGGTGTAGTAGGAGATGAGAGAGACGTGTCAGGTGTAGTAGGAGATGAGAGGGACGAGTCAGGTGTAGTAGGAGATGAGAGAGACGTGTCAGGTGTAGTAGGAGATGAGAGGGACGTGTCAGGTGTAGTAGGAGATGAGAGAGACGTGTCAGGTGTAGTAGGAGATGAGAGAGACGTGTCAGGTGTAGTAGGTGATGAGAGAGACGTGTCGCGGGGTAGTAGGAGATGAGAGAGACGTGTCAGGTGTAGTAGGAGATGAGAGAGACGTGTCACGTGTAGTAGGAGATGAGAGAGGACGTGTCAGGTGTAGTAGGAGATGAGAGGAGACGTGTCAGGTGTAGTAGGAGATGAGAGAGACGTGTCAGGTGTAGTAGGAGATGAGAGAGACGTGTCAGGTGTAGTAGGAGATGAGAGAGACGTGTCAGGTGTAGTAGGAGATGAGAGAGACGTGTCACGGTGTAGTAGGAGATGAGAGGAGACGTGTCAGGTGTAGTAGGAGATGAGAGAGACGTGTCACGTGTAGTAGGAGATGAGAGAGACGTGTCAGGTGTAGTAGGAGATGAGAGAGGACGTGTCAGGTGTAGTAGGAGATGAGAGAGACGTGTCAGGTGTAAGTAGGAGATGAGAGAGGACGTGTCAGGTGTAGTAGGAGATGAGAGAGACGTGTCAGGTGTAGTAGGAGATGAGAGAGACGTGTCAGGTGTAGTAGGAGATGAGAGAGACGTGTCACGGTGTAGTAGGAGATGAGAGAGGACGTGTCAGGTGTAGTAGGAGATGAGAGAGACGTGTCAGGTGTAGTAGGAGATGAGAGAGACGTGGTCAGTGTAGTAGGAGATGAGAGAGACGTGTCAGGTGTAGTAGGAGATGAGAGAGACGTGTCACGTGTAGTAGGAGATGAGAGAGACGTGTCAGGTGTAGTAGGAGATGAGAGAGACGTGTCACGTGTAGTAGGAGATGAGAGAGACGTGTCAGGTGTAGTAGGAGATGAGAGAGACGTGTCAGGTGTAGTAGGAGATGAGAGAGACGTGTCAGGTGTAGTAGGAGATGAGAGAGACGTGTCAGGTGTAGTAGGAGATGAGAGAGACGGTCACGTGTAGTAGGAGATGAGAGAGACGTGTCAGGTGTAGTAGGAGATGAGAGAGACGTGTCACGTGTAGTAGGAGATGAGAGAGACGTGTCAGGTGTAGTAGGAGATGAGAGAGACGTGTCACGTGTAGTAGGAGATGAGAGAGACGTGTCAGGTGTAGTAGGAGATGAGAGAGACGATGTCAGGTGTAGTAGGAGATGAGAGGGACTGAGTCAGGTGTAGTAGGAGATGAGAGAGACGTGTCAGGTGTAGTAGGAAGGATGAGAGAGACGTGTCACGTGTAGTAGGAGATGAGAGAGACGTGTCAGTGTAGTAGGAGATGAGAGAGGACGTGTCACGTATAGTAAGGAGATGAGAGAGACGTGTCAGGTGTAGTAGGAGATGAGAGAGACGTGTCACGTGTAGTAGGAGATGAGAGAGACGTGTCAGGTGTAGTAGGAGATGAGAGAGACGTGTCAGGTGTAGTAGGAGATGAGAGAGACGTGTCACGTGTAGTAGGAGATGAGAGAGACGTGTCACGTGTAGTAGGAGATGAGAGATGACGTGTCAGGTGTAGTAGGAGATGAGAGGGATGAGTCAGGTGTAGTAGGAGATGAGAGAGACGTGTCAGGTGTAGTAGGAGATGAGAGAGACGTGTCACGTGTAGGAGATGAGAGAGACGTGTCAGGTGTAGTAGGAGATGAGAGAGACGAGTCAGGTGTAGTAGGAGATGAGAGAGACGTGTCAGGTGTAGTAGGAGATGAGAGAGACGAGTCAGGTGTAGTAGGAGATGAGAGGGATGAGTCAGGTGTAGTAGGAGATGAGAGAGACGTGTCAGGTGTAGTAGGAGATGAGAGAGACGTGTCACGTGTAGTAGGAGATGAGAGAGACGTGTCAGGTGTAGTAGGAGATGAGAGAGGCGTGTCACGTATAGTAAGAGATGAGAGAGACGTGTCAGGTGTAGTAGGAGATGAGAGAGACGTGTCACGTGTAGTAGGAGATGAGAGAGACGTGTCACGTGTAGTAGGAGATGAGAGAGACGTGTCACGTGTAGTAGGAGATGAGAGAGACGTGTCACGTGTAGTAGGATATGAGAGAGACGTGTCAGGTGTAGTAGGAGATGTGAGAGACGTGTCAGGTGTAGTAGGAGATGAGAGAGACGTGTCAGGTGTAGTAGGAGATGAGAGAGACGTGTCACATGTAGGAGATGAGAGAGACGTGTCACGTGTAGTAGGAGATGAGAGAGGCGTGTCACGTGTAGTAGGAGATGAGA